AAACATACCATCCTCTTTTAATGCTTGCTATGTAAGTGCAATTTGAATAAATCATCTGGATTAATGAATTTACTACACTATGAGCTGGCAATTCTCCTTATGTGGTGTTTCGTTGCCCGATGGGAAGTTTGCTATTCAGAATTTTTTTGGAGAAGTATCTTTGATTACTAGAAGTGATTTCTATTGAAGACCGGTTGCAGTATCAGCTGGATATATCACACTGCTTATGCTGGCCGATCCTTTGGGTGGTCAGACCTTGTGGTAAGAGGCCAATTAATTTGGGTGGAAGGTGCCGGTCTTCTTTTTGGATTGGAACTCGCTTTCCTATATACCAGTTCCTATCTATATATGGGAATCCTACACGGACTTTGTTGTCATCTGTCATAAATCATTATCAATGCTTTTGGATTTTCAAGTTATATGTCCAATTAGCACTGCAATTGTTTTATGAATGTTACTGTTGGCCTATTTAACGTGCAAGCTGCTATATCGTTTTGAGGTTTAATTTCCGAGCACAGGTTTATATTATATATCTAGTGGGGATGTATCCCTTGTGCTGATGCCTCTTCTGTTGGGTGAAATCTTCCTCTATACCCCCCACCCTGCAATCTTCTGCTGTAGTAGAGGTCATCGGAACTGGGGGAGCTGGAACAGATTCTCATACTGAGTGTGAACTATGTCCACCTTTCCCACCCAGCTTCTCCATTCATAGAAGCCATACTACAGCTTCTTTGAATGAAAGAGGATTTATGAATGGAGGATTGAAAGGTCCACCCCCTCCATGCATAGATCCTGTTTCAATCCTAGAAGCTGTAGTACGGCTTCTATGAAAGGAGCTGGGCGGGAAGGGTGGTGTAGTTGGGCATTCCTGATGAGAGCTGTACTTAGGTGGTAAAGCTGATCTTGGGGTTTCATTTGACGTAAAATATGGAACTTGTCAGATTTGAAGGTGAACAGCTTGGCCCAAGGTGTTTAAACAAGTCCTTTGTTTTAGTCGCAACCACTTGACAGTGCATATCACAGGCAAAAGGAAAAGCGCCAATCAGAGTGACTCCCCTGTACCTCAAGTCACAGTGATAAAAAAAATGTAAATAATGGCACGTACCAAGATGGCGTGGACTTGTTAATGTTTCATGAGAGATAACTGGACAGTGACAGACTACTACAGAAGATTTTACCCCTTTCACGACCAGGCCATTTTTGTTAGAGATTTATATATATATATATATATATATATATATATATATATATATAATATATATATATATATATATATATATATATATATATACATATATATATATATATACACACACACTGCCCTGTGCTACTTTTATCTGGCAATTGTGTGGTCATGCAACATTGTACCCAAATTAAATTTATATCTTTTTTTCCCCCCAAACAAAGCTTTCTTTTGGTGGTATTTGATCACCATTGGGTTTTTTATCTTTTGCAATATAAACGGTGAATAAAGACTGAAATTTTGGCTGTATACCTACCACCAGATTGGCTGTGGCAATCCCAGAGAAGAGTCCTGTGTTTACAAATACACATGACTATGCACAGACCGTGATCTAGCAGTTTTTTTCTCCCTGCAAAGCAGATCTTTTGTAGGAGCGTAAATTCCAGTATATACACATCATAGTTTGCAGATGCTATAACTTACATGTAAACAAATTAATATACAAATATATAGACTGTTTTTTAACCAAAAACATGTAGAAGAATATATTTTGGCCTAAATTTATGAAGAAATTTGATTTTGTTTTTTTTATTAGGTTTTATAACAAAGTAGAAAATTATATATTTTTTTCATCATTTTCAGCCTTTTTTCATTTATTAAACCCAGTGGCGATCAAATACCACCAAAAAAAAAAAAAAAAAGCTCTATTTGTGTGAAAAAAATGACATACATTTGGGTACAGTGCTGTATGACCAATTTTTTGTTATTCAGCCAGTTAAAGTGCTGAATAACAAAAAAAAATGCCCTAGTCATGAAGGGGGTAAAACCTTCCAAGTCGTTAAATGAACACATGTGCTCCAGGTGCGCTGAGTGTTTGTGATCACAATGTGTATGTCACTTTTCCCACATAATATATAAAGCCCTTCTCCTGCTAGCACATGTGGATGAGAACTCCCTATAGAAAAAAAAAAAAAAGGAAAACCTTTTTACCCCAAAATGTCAGTAAAAATAAAAAAAAATTATATAAAAAGGATATACAAATTTAGGTGTACTTCAGCATGATTTGAGTAATTAAACTATCACAGCCCTGGAAATGGGGCCTGTAAAAGGAAGGCTTAACATGCTGATAGTTAAACCAGTATTAAAGTGGCTCAAATGGCAAAACATATTTACCTTAGTGCATTCCCTGCCTTAAAGTGACTGTAAACATCAGACATGAAATATGAACAAAGCATATCCCCTCTATATTGTGTACTTGTCTCAATTAAGAGTAACTAGGTGTCATTTCTGTCTGCTGCTTCATTCCTTTGCTATCAGCATTAATCACTTCTGACAAGTTTTCCTGACACCAAGAGAAAAATGGTGACGGGGAGGGACCTCCAGCAGACAGCCTCAGCTCTGTTCTTGTGAGAGGGAGGGGGGGATGTTTCGCTTTCCTCCATTCAGCTCACAGAGCTCTGCAATGTGTAATTTTCGCTCTTCGCCAACTCTCAGGCAAGCTTTAGAAATTCATTCAGCATTTTGAACGGATGTAGAGAAGACTAAACAGGTACAATTTATGTAGGAGGACTTGTTTAATCTCGGTGTAGCACCTGGGCCAGTCACTTCAATGGTTATATGGAAGGGTTTACAACCACTTTAAGGTTAAAATAAATAATAATAAAAAATAATAATGTTCCAGTGGTAGTAGCACCCCTACCTAGTCAGGCATATATTAAGCAATTTTTTTTCGTGCAAAGGAAAATTGCTTGATTCCCCTCATCAACAAAGTTAGTGTTTACGGGGAAATCCCGCTCGCAGCGCTACTGTGTTCTGCTGTCCCCACCAGCAGTACACAATGATCACTGCTGGCGGACATTGCCACTGGCAGGGACTGCATGCAAAAAAATCTGACAGGCTGGTTGTACTGAAGTTGATCGAAGGATCGACTTCAGTACAGCCAGCCTGCCCATGGATGGACCGAATCTCAGTTGGTCCCTGTTGTACCAGCCGAGATTCGATCCATCTATGGCTGACTTTACCTGAATCCTATCTCAGATCCAGCCCAGGGCCTGTCTGCAGTGACAGTCTCTCTTCTCACTGGACACAGAGGCAATAGAAGCTCCTGCTGAAAATCAAATCCTGTGAGGTAGGGGGGTAGCCGAGCCAGGCTGTGTGTATGTCTACAGACACACACAGCCCAGCTCAGGAGCAAGCTCGCAGGTATGCCCCATTAGGCACATTCAGAAGAGGAGGGGCATGGAAGCCCAGAAGTGGAGGTTCATGGCAGCTCTGTGCAATACCATTGCACAGAGCAGGCAAGTAAACATGTTTATTTAAAAAAATTATAGTGCAGCTTACCAATCTTTGAATGTGGTGGCTAGCAGATTTAGACAGACTTGACTAACAAAATAAACCCAAACTCCAGCTAACACTTTTTAACCCGTTCTTGCTGACTGGCCGCACATGTGTGGCCTCTCGGCGGCTGGGCTTTAATGCCAAGTGGCTGCATGTATGTGTCTATGTGTAAACAGTTTATTGTGCTGAGCACACTCACTGCCTGTTCCCAGCACAGTACCTAATGTGCCATGGAAAGCTCCTGATGCCTACTTGCGATCAGGAGCTTTCCGATCATGTGACTGCCAATCACAGCGGTCACATGACCGAAATGCCCGCCTCCCGTCATTTAGATCCCCTTAAAGAGGTGGCCACGGGAAGAGGTTAAGCAGTTACAGTAATTGTTTTTTTTCTTTTGGGTAAAAATTTACATAACTGAATAAAAGATGACCATTGTAAACACCACCGTCGACGTCAATGGTTCATCTCAGCCCTCTGTCACTTTTGCTGGACAGCTTGGTCTATTAAAAGGAAGTTGAAAAATAACTGATTTACTATCCAGATTAGCAGGTGAAAATTAAGGGAAAAAAAAAACTAAAGCAGACACCACATCCAAGAATTGGTCAGCTGCAATATGTTTTGGGTTTAAGAACGGTTAAACACAGACCTTTCCTTCCAAAACCCGCCAATCAACACAGACTCAGAATATGGAAGCTGGTCTTTTAAGCCAACTGTATAAATGGAATTCCATTGTACGCCATCACCACAGGATATATAGTATATAAAATTGGTCTATATAAAAGACACAAAATATGGCAGTTCTTCTCCAGGCCTTGACCGGAAACCATCAGCATCTGATAATGTTGGACCAGACAGTATGTGGAGCCACCAATTGCTGTATTTCAGGATCGCTAGAAAAAGAAGCAATTTTTCCAGCAAGTTTTATTTTATTGAATAAGCAGCAATAGATCCTGTGTTGACCCAAATAACACCATAATGCTCATTGATACAACCATTGCAGCAACACAGCGATTAGAGAGGATAAGAAGGGCTAAAATCAGACCTCAAAACTACAATTTCTTAAGATCCACCATTTAAAGTGAATATCTGGCCCAGGGTTAGAGTTATGGCCGGACATTCACTTTAAGTACTTGATGCAGCTTATGGAAGAAGCCACAATGGCCAAAGTCTTGCTAGTTAAGGTAGAAGCCGATCCATGAGTACCATGTTACAGGTTATGTTAAACACGCTCATAGACAGAAGCTGGGAGGTTTGTGCAGGAAAATCACATAAATGAGAGCAAAGGTCACATGGGCTGAACAGCGGGACATTCCTCAGCTCGGTCTGTCATGCAGCGAGTAGAGGGCCTGGACACTTTACCAGATCTTCGTCCTGAAAGTGAATTCAGAGTTCTGAGAGGACATCAATAATGAGGGGACTAGATGCAGACTTATTCATTCTGGGAAGGACCTTATATAGACAATAAACGCCCGGTATATACCTAGCGGCGTACGGTTGTCCAGCCATCCTCATCTATCTCATTTTTGGTACGGCGAGATGCGTCTTTTTCGTCCCTTTTTTCTGCTCGCCATGATGGTTTCTCTTTTTCTCCTGGAGAGGCTCGTATCGGAGTACTACGCTCTTCTTTGTCTTCAGTTCTTCTCCACGGACTCGCTGGAATATCAGAATGCCGATATTATTAATATTAAAGCAGGGAATGAGGTAAAGACAGAAAACACCAGACTATACTACCTAAGCCTCATTCACACGGAGAATACAAAGCTGTTGTGTTTACCCTCAGGACGCAGCAGGAACTGGGATGCAGCCATTGCTCTCAATTAGACATCTGCGTGAGTGCAGATGCGTGTCCCCAAACTCATGGGCCCACATGCACATGGATGTCAAATTAGGAGTAGCGGCTGTGTCCATGCTACTGCCGCGTTCCACCTGACATCAATGGGGCTGCCTGAACAGAGATTCATGGGACACTGACACACCACGGGTGTACACTTTAGTATGCCATGTGTGAACGAGGCCTTATCGTCAGGTCATGAAGGAGACTACTACTGTCTGCTTGCTGATCTCGGTCTTGGAATAAATGAGAGCAGGACAGACTGTACTTTATGCCGTCTGCTTGCAAGTTGCAGTCTTAGGAGTACAAAATGGCAGGAACAAGAAAAAACTCACGTTCATCTCTGTCAGATTTTATAGGACGTCGCCGGTCATCCTTTTTATCTTGATTTTCTTCTCTACTCTGGTCTTTTCTGGAAGGGAAGGCCTCTTCGCCTCCGCGCCTCCAGTTAGGCTCATCTCTGAAAAGTGGAATCATTTGAAAATGTAAGTTAGGGCATAATAAAACAAACATTCAGTAGATCTCAGCAATACATGCATATTCTCTTTAAAAACCTCCAAAGAAAGCTACATAACCTATTGATCTGCATGAAATCCAGAGTTTCATACTTCCAGTGTGCTGACAACTCTGCCTTTACTGTAGTGAAACTACCAATCAGTGCGCTCAACACTGCATGCTGTACTACAGAACTCAGCCCATCTCCGCCTCTCTGTCCTTTTTCATATGCCTATATGGATTTCTTTTCCTGCAAAACTTTACTACTTCTTGATTGTCAACAGCTAACCCACACACTTTGTGTAGGGAAAGGACTCTTGGAAGGTGTAGTTTTGGGGGTATAAATGCCTATCCCTTCCCTCATGCCATTACTTATGAAGGTTTCCAGCAGTTTGCAGTTGAGTGTTGGGAAGGCAGATAGGATCGTAATTCAGTTACGGTACACAGGAAGTTATAGGATTTCAAGTATTTTTCTGTAGATGCAAAAAATGTTTTTAGCCAAAAAAATAAATAAAAAAACAAAACAAAAAACAAAACACAGAGAAAACGAATATAGCCACCACATCTAATGACTGGTAAGCTATATAACATTTAGTTCTTGAGTAGATACTCTAAGGCTTTGTTCACATGAGCGGCCAGGGGACGTTAAAACTAGGTGGTTGACCCATGGTTTTAATGCTTCCCCCCAGGTTGGCCAGCTGAACACTCGCTGACAATCAGCCATATACAGAGCACAAGCAAAACTAAACAGTCATCAGACTGTCATAAGGCATGTCGAATGCAACCAAGTCTATGAGGCTGTGCTAAAACTGCATCCAATGCCGCACTACCCTCCACAATTTTCTGCATTGTAAGTGATGTGGCTCCAGCGCAGCCCCATTAAACTGCATTAGTCATGTTCGGTGGCAGTACCACCTGCGGAAAGTGACATGCTGTTAAATTTTTGCAGCGACGTGTACAGCCATGAGCAGCTGTAGGCAAGTGTTCAGACAGGTGGTAATACCGCAGTGCAACCACCTGCTTTCAGAACCCCCTCACACCCCCAACTTCACATTTGAAGAAGTCCTTAAAGTGGCTGTAAACCTCAGACATGAAATATGAACAAAGCATATCCCTCTATAGTGTGTACTGGTCTCATTTATGAGTACTAAGTGTCATTTCTGTCTGCTGTCTCATTCCGCTGCTATCAGCATGATTTCTGATAAGTTTTCCTGACACCAAAACAAAAAGGGTGACTGGAGGCAACTCCAGCTGATTGACAGCCTCAGCTCTGTTGCTGTGTGAAGAGGGTGTGTGTCAGCTCTCAGAGCTCTCCAGAGTGTAATTTCAGCTCTCCACCTCCTTTTTTTCTGACAGCTCAGACAAGCTTGATGAATTCTGAACTTTGAACAGATACAGAAAAGAAAAGGATGTAGATACTCAGATAAAATAAATACTCCTACATAAGTTGTACCTGTTTATCACTTGAGAAAAGTAATTTACCTGGGTACATCTAAGAGTTTACAACCACTTTAATGTATTCTCAGACCTTTTTGAATATCTAAATACCTTTTTGTAAGTGAGGTTTCCAGAACTAGACAAAGTATTCTGAAAAAGGTCTATCGGAGGATCTATATAGGGCCGGGGTTGGCAAACTATGGCTCTCCAGCTGTTTCATAACTACAAGTCCCATCATGCCTCTGGGAATCACGTTTGTAACTGTCAGTCTTGCAATCAATGCCTCATTAGACATGTAGTTCCACAACAGCAGAAGGGCCACAGTTGCCCACCCCTGATATAGAGGAATCAAGACCTCCTTCCTGCTGGTGGATCACTCTAGTGACACATCCTAGAATTCTATTCACTTTTCCCCACTGCCTGGCTACACAGTTTGCTCATCTTGCAATTATCTGAAATAAGTACTCAAATCATTTTCCCGTGTCTGGCCAACAATGTAACATTAGGATTCTTATACAGTTCTAAAACATAAAACTAGAAACCAGTACACCTTCCCCTGAATAAATCTTCTAGACGCCTTCTAATCCTACCGCCAAAAACACACTTACATGCACAGTTTGTGTGACTCTCCAAATTACAGCCAACCAACTCACCTGACAGGGGGGAGCTTTTCTTGCTCGGAGTCTGGGTCATCATCATCTCTGGACCACTCCTGATCTTCAGAAGCCTTAGATTCCCTTGGAGGGCCCCAACTGTCTTCCCGAGCTTTCTCTCGCTCCCTCCAGCCACCTAAAATAGGAATGTTTAATAAAAAAAAAAAACCTTTATAATTTGCCCATATCTCCTATGTTGGGACATCACGTGTCCCCAAAGCAGACCCTTCCAGCGCAGTGACAAGATCTGGATATTCAGCCAACCAAAAACCGCTGCCCGAAAGAGTGAACCTTGCCAATTGAATGGTCTTTAACCAAGTTATAGAGATGGTACCCATCAGTTTGATGCTTTAAAAGTATTTGTGAACACCCTACCGTCCTAGCCAGCTATACTACAGTACAATGTATTTTCCATCTGTAATTGCCTTTATTATACAAATAAAAACAGAACCCACACAAAGTATATATATATATATATATATATATATATATATATATATATATATATATAAAAGCTGTATAAATGCTGTGACATGACCACACAGCTTCCATTTGTCCTGTTCCCTAGAGCAGGGGACCAGGTGTGTCTACTGGGTGGACACACAAGGACTCCTCTGTTCCTGGAGGTATAGAACACTGTGCCTCCCGTAGTCAGTTTGGTTGTCTCACCTGCCTTATTAACAGAGGCTTCAAGGAGATAGGTGTGGGGGCATGGTGGTCAACCCAAATGTGGGAGGCACAGGCACGCCGTGCAGCAGCAGCATTGTGCCTGCAACTCCAAGCAAGTCGCACAGCAAAGTAAACTGACCATACCACCTTGGATCTGCTTCCCTGCTTGGTATGGTCAGAATTAGGAAAGAAGGGAGACTTCGTAGGATCACCGGGTATTTCCCACCTCAATAAATAAAGGCTGGATTTACCAACATTTACATAAACCCCAGAAAGACCACATATCCAATATAAGGTTCTGGGGCAACATACACTTTAAAAGGGAAGTGCCAGTTTTGGAAAAAAACAACAAAACATCCATGCTCATCTAGGTGGATGTAGCATTGATCCAAAGCTGCATTTGTTCGCCAACACCTTTAAACTGAGAACTGAGCGATCGGAGACAGCTAATTGCTCAGTTCTCTGTCTCCAGTGACCAGAGACCCGGTGACTGTGTCACTCACTCTTTGCTCTGTCCCCTTCAGCACTCACTGGAGTCTCAGGCTGTGGAAGGGGCAGGAGTGGCTGGCTCAGGCTCTCAGCAGTGAGCGGAGAGGCTGACAGCTGCAGATAAGGCATCTGGGTGGATCCTGACATTAAAGTTGGGATCCCTCCAGCATCTGGATCAGCTGAATGTCAGCAGACAGCATACTTCAGTCTACACTTTGGCCCAGCACTTCAAATCACAAAGACATGGCCACAAAAGTAAAAAGAAACACAACATTTCAGATTCAGCAACTAAATACAATTGTCAAATCTATCCTGATCATCTCATGAATGCCTTAGGTTATAAATTCGCTGACAATCTGACAAATGTAAACACAGTACTCCACCAAACCCGAAGATGTGTTGAGTATTTAAAAGCCTAGTTCATCTATAGAACGCTTAAACACACGTATTTAGGGTATAGCATGTTCCAGGACTTCTATGACCCCCCCCCCCCCCCTCTCCACGTGACAGGGGGTGGGTGTTCTCCCCCTCAGCCACATTTAACCGCTTCCACGCCACCCTATAGCAGAAATACTGGTACAGGGTGGCACACACACAGGTGTAAAGTCACTATATATACATATATATATATACATATATATATATATACATATACACACACACATATATACAGTCAGGTCCATAAATATTGGGACATCAACACAATTCTAACATTTTTGGCTCTATACACCACCACAATGGATTTGAAATGAAACGAACAAGATGTGCTTTAACTGCAGACTGTCCGCTTTAATTTGAGAGTATTTACATCCAAATCAGGTGAACGGTGTAGGAATTACAACAGTTTGCATATGTGCCTCCCACTTGTTAAGGGACCAAAAGTAATGAGACAGAATAATAATCATAAATCAAACTTTCACTTTTTAATACTTGGTTGCAAATCCTTTGCAGTCAATTACAGCCTGAAGTGTGGAACGCATAGACACCACCAGACGCTGGGTTTCATCCCTGGTGATGCTCTGCCAGGCCTCTACTGCAACTGTCTTCAGTTCCTGCTTGTTCTTGGGGCATTTTCCCTTCAGTTTTGTCTTCAGCAAGTGAAATGCATGCTCAATCGTATTCAGGTCAGGTGATTGACTTGTCCATTGCATAACATTCCACTTCTTTCCCTTAAAAAACTCTTTGGTTGCTTTTGCAGTCTGCTTTGGGTCATTGTCCATCTGCACTGTGAAGCGGCGTCCAATGAGTTCTGAAGCATTTGGCTGAATATGAGCAGATAATATTCCCGAAACACTTCAGAATTCATCCTGCTGCTTTTGTCAGCAGTCACATCATCAAAAAATACAAGAGAACCAGTTCCATTGGCAGCCATACATGCCCACGCCATGACACTACCACCTCCATGCTTCACTGATGAGGTGGTATGCTTAGGATCATGAGCAGTTCCTTTCCTTCTCCATACTCTTCTCTTCCCATCACTCTGGTACAAGTTGATCTCGGTCTCATCTGTCCATAGGATGTTGTTCCAGAACTGTGAAGGCTTTTTAGATGTCGTTTGGCAAACTCTAATCTGGCCTTCCTGTTTTTGAGGCTCACCAATGGTTTCCATCTTGTGGTGAACCCTCTGTATTCACTCTGAAGTCTTCTCTTGATTGTTGACTTTGACACACATACACCTACCTCCTGGAGAGTGTTCTTGATCTGGCCAACTGTTGTGAAGGGTGTTTTTCTTCACCAGGGAAAGAATTCTTCTCTCATCCACCACAGTTGTTTTCTGTGGTCTTTCGGGTCTTTTGGTGTTGCTGAGCTCACCGGTGCGTTCCTTCTTTTTAAGAATGTTCCAAACAGTTGTTTTGGCCACGCCTAATGTTTTTGCTATCTCTCTGATGGGTTTGTTTTGTTTTTTCAGCCTAATGATGGCTTGCTTCACTGATAGTCACAGCTCTTTGGATCTCATCTTGAGAGTTGACAGCAACAGATTCCAAATGCAAATAGCACACTTGAAATGAACTCTGGACCTTTTATCTGCTCATTGTAATTGGGATAATGAGGCAATAACACACACCTGGCCATAGAACAGCTGAGAAGCCAATTGTCCCATTACTTTTGGTCCCATAACAAGTGGGAGGCACATATGCTAACTGTTGTAATTCCTACACCGATCACCTGATTTGGATGTAAATACCCTCAAATTAAAGCTGACAGTCTGCAGTTAAATCACATCTTGTTCGTTTCATTTCAAATCCATTGTGGTGGTGTATAGAGCCAAAAATGTTAGAATTGTGTCGATGTCCCAATATTTATGGACCTGACTGTATGTGTATATATACATATATACATACACACACACACACAGGTGATTTTGCAGTTCTACGTGGGGGGCACGCACGCCCTACCCACGCCACTTTCGCGGCCTCAGCTGTCACCCAGCGATCACCAATGATTTTTGACGGGGAGAGCCCTGTATGTAAACAATACAGATCTCTCCCGTCAGCACACTGCCTTGTATGGCTCTGCATAGAAGTGTGCTTACAGTGTAAAACACACACAAGCCCAAGTAGTAAAACAGCACACAGTTAACCCTTTAATCACCCCACATGTTAACCCCTTCCTGCCCAGTGCCATTAGTACAGTGTCAGTGCTTTTTATTAGCACTGATCACTTTATTGGTGTCACTGGGGATGTCAGTGACACCAAGTCAGTTCCCCCCAGTGTATTAATGCCCACCGCAGTCCCGCTATAAGTCACTGATCCCCGTGATTACTAGTTTAAAAAAAATCCACTATATAAACCACCATTTGTAAACGCTATAACTTTCATGTAAACTAATTAATTTACACGTATTGGTATTTTTTTTTTCTTTAGCAAAGACATGTAGCAGAATACATTTTAGCCTAAATTTATGACGAAATTTGATTTTTTAAAATTTTTTTACTGGACATGTTTAATAGCAAAAAGTCAAAAATACTGGGTTTCTTTCAAAATTGCCGGTCTTTTTTTTTTGTTTATAGCGAAAAAAAATAAAAAAACCACACAGGCGATCAAATACCACCGAAAGAAAGCTCTATTTGTGTGTGTGTGGGACGTACATTTCGTTTGGGTGCAGCGTTGCATGACTGCGTAATTGTCAGTTGAAAAAAAAACACAACACCACATCGCAAAAAATGGCCTGGTCCTCTGGAATGCAAGTGGTTAAAAACAGCATAACTGTGCAGGGCTCAGCCCTCACAGCTATGTCATTCATTCATAAAAATCTGCAGCAGACGGCTTGTAGTTCATTGAGATGAGTACACTGATCAGCACACACATAGGCCATACACTCCTCTAGCTTTCTAACTGAAAGGCCTTCAGTACAGGCAAAAAGCTGGAGGATGTGTCTGCAGGAGCCTGACATTACGATCCACTGATTGTGGGTGCTATGTTTTGCAGGTGACTTTTTCCAGCAAAAACATTTGCATCGATTATTTTTTCCCTAATGGTGAAAATCACCTCCAAAAGGTTCAACCCCTGGGTATGTGTTTAGGTTAGATGCACCTAGCATCCTGTCCCACAGGTGGCCACATTAAACTCATCCATCATGGACTTTGGCTATGTCCTTCAATGAAAGAAAGAGAAAGTACTTTGTTAGGGGTGCTCTCTCCCCACCTTCTCATTCTTCGACTAAACAAGGATAACATACCCACCCACAGAATCTGGTGGAGAAGATCACAATCCCTCTGAGGAATCGGGAGTATGCTTCTCTTAAAAGCCAGTAGCTATAGCTACCGTACTTAAAGCTGCTGACTTTTTAGTTTTCCCATAGCTGGGTGAAGGTTATCTAATCGTTGCAACCCAACTGTGCCAGTTCAACAACATTTTAGGCATTTGTGCTTATTTCCATCTTTACTGAAAAGGAAGGGGGGGGGGGGGGGTGTTAGCGGGTATCTGATTTTGCCTAATAAGCGATCAGAAGTGAAGTTCTCCTCCCTCTTTCCTAGTTTTCTGGGACGCGTGGTGACAGGCCCCAGAAGACTGTGGGACCGTTCACAATGTGCAGTGGGCACAAGGCTGTGAAGCCACAAGCTGTCACAGCCGGGTGCCCACAGTTAACAAGCCGGCATCAGGGACAGATGGGAAAAGAAAACAGCTGGGGTGAACACAGCGCTGAATCGTGGGACAGGTAAGTGGCTGTTTATTAAAAGTTGCCAGCTACAATTTTTGCAGCCGCTGACGTATTCACACAGGAGACTGGAGCGCCTTCTCTCAACATATTTTCCTGATGAAAAGGTAGCAGATCACTTCCACACAGTGACAGTGCCTAGGCACAAACTGTTTTTTGCAGGCTCACAGAAGCCTGTTAGAAGTTTTATAGACATACCTCTTTCACTCCCTCCTGATTACAACAGTGGATTGTCTAGGAACAGGAAGAGAGAGCCTAGGCAAACTAGGCAGCAGAACGTCTACTGCAAGTGCTAACACTTTCACAAGGGACTCGTCTCACATTGCCTAAAGGACAAAGTTCCCTGGGGCCAAGCCTACTTGAAGACAGCCTATGCTAAGAAAAATTATGTAGGATGCTGCTATCTGCCTCTGAAAATGCTAACTGCTAGGATATTATGTTGATCCAAGTCCCTAATCAAGGGAAAAAAAGGTCTGCCTTCGAAGGCTGTACACTTTGTCCTGGGTCACTTACTCAGTATTGAAGCCAGAACATGAGCATCATGGGACAGCCAGCATCCCAACTGGCCCCAGTACAATTTCTATAAGGCCTGGCTGTGGGATCCCTTTGGTGAACCAAACCTGGGAGTGAGTTCAAGTGCACAATATATGTGTTTTCAACCTATGCTCCATAAAATATATTTATTCATAGTTGACTTAATAAGTTATATATTGCTCTGTACACACGTTCCAAGACCTGATGCAAGACAAGGATGTAAACATCAGAAAGTCTTATAAGGTTTTTTACTTGAGCATTATTCAAACATTCTGAATTATTTTTACATAGAGCAACAAGCAAAATTTCCCTGTATAGTAAAAGCATTTTTACACATTCACATTTTTAAGCAATATCTTTCAATCCTAAATCATTTCCAACACCAGCCATTGTGAGGAATCTCTCATTCATCCATCCATTCTTCTAACATCCATTGTGGTCCTCATAAATCGGACCTCCAGAGAACACAATTGTCTCAGTTCTAGCCATTCATGCATTACCAATGGACAAAGGAAAATCATATTGGCAAACTTTAGAAATGTAACACTGGGTTCATAGCTTACCTGGCCGATTGGCAGCATAAGGCTTCCAGGGAGTTTGTCCTCCTTCGTCATCACCACCACGCCTTGGTCCTCTATCATCGTCAGCTCCAAGCTTGGGCCCCCTGTCATCTTCAGCACTTCTCCAAGACCCACGGTCATCATCCAAAACACGACGTGGGCCACGGTCTTCATCAAATCCACGGCGTGCACCCCGATCATCATCAAATCCTCTTCTAGGGCCACGGTCATCTTCAAATCCCCTCCTAGGGCCACGGTCATCTTCAAAGCCTCTTCTGGGAGTACGATCATCATCAAAACCCCTGCGAGGGCCACGATCATCTTCAAAACCTCTGCGGGGTCCCCTGTCATCGTCAAAACCTCTGCGGGGTCCCCTGTCATCATCAAAGCCTCTGCGGGGTCCCCTGTCATCATCAAAGCCTCTGCGGGGTCCCCTGTCATCATCAAAACCTCTGCGGGGTCCCCTGTCATCATCAAAGCCTCTGCGGGGTCCCCTGTCATCATCAAAACCTCTGCGAGGTCCACGGTCTTCATCAAAACCTCTGCGAGGTGCTCGGTCTTCATCAAAACCTCTGCGAGGTCCTCGGTCATCATCAAAACCTCTCCGGGGTCCTCGGTCTTCATCAAAACCTCTGCGAGGTCCTCTGTCGTCATCAAATCCTCTCCGGGGACCCCTATCTTCATCAAACCCTCTTCTGGGGCCACGATCATCATCAAATCCTCTCCTTGGGCCCCTATCCTCCTCAAAGCCTCTCCTAGGGCCCCTATCCTCTTCCAACCCTCTCCTGGGCCCTCTGTCCTCCTCAAAGCCCCTTCTAGGTCCACGATCCTCTTCTGCACCACGCCATGATGTCCTTTCCTCATCTAAATCAGGCTTGGGGGGTCTATCTTCATTCAGGCCACGACGAACAGGTGTGTTATCTTCTTCATCTGTGTTGGACTCTGCTTCCTTTCCAACATGTGCATCGTCATCTGGAATATCTTCAGACTCTATTTTGGCTGGCTTTTCAGGATCTTGTCCTCCCCGACGCCATTCTCTGGAACAACATTGCATTATTGTACAAATTATATTGAAATAAGGCAAGATAACAAGAACCCAAAGATCATCAACTTCAGAATTACCTTTCAGGTGCTTTGCGTTCATCTGTAGTCTCTCCACGTCTCCAGCCACTGTCAGCCTCCCTTTCACCCCAGCGTGATTCCTGAGAAAGGTGACAAAAGTGGGAAATAAATATGTACTCATATTGGAAACATCAATGCAAAACAAGCAGCACAAGATGCAGTCCCGTATCAAAAAGTCCCAGATCACATGGAGCACAACCATGACCGAAAATAGGTGAGAAGACAGGAACTTGGCCTTCTGAACTTTATCAAGCTTCAGAACTATGGAGTGAAAGGAAATCTCTTTTGTGGTTGAAAATAAGCAGAAATGTAACAATGTACCGCATTACAGGGACAATGGAACCTTTAAAAGACTGGAATAGCAGACTGGTGAAGTCACACACATCGTTAGGTAGCACAGAATCTTTTGCATTGTAATGTATTAAACACCTGAAATACCAACACACCTTCCTAAAGGAGTCATCACCCCCACGTCGTTCCTCCTCCCGACGACGCTCTCGCTCCTCGATCTCTAGTTCTCTCTGCCGTTTCTTGCGTTCTTGTTCCTCTAGTTTCTTAATGCGTTCTTGGTATTCTTTTTCCTCGGCTTCTCTCTTTTCATTTTCAATCCGATCTCTTTCCTCTCGCTCTGTAAAGAATGGGCAGGTAAGATATGACCCATGAGATAAATTGGCTAATGTTTAGTAGTTGAGCGACTATAGCTCTGTACCAGGTTAATTAAATGATATTGTGGTCATCAATTCCAGGATCAACAAGCACCATCTGAAAGCATTGAGGGTTAGGGTTAGACATACCTTTCTTTATCTGTTCTTCTTGCTTCATTTGCTCCTCTTCCTCCTTATCCCTGTAATAGGCAGTACGCCTCTCTTCCTTGCGTTGCCTCTTGCGCTCCTCCAAGCGAGCTTTTCTTTCCTCAGCTAGTCGATCCTGGAACTGTTTGAGTTTCTCCTGAGATCGTCAATATTAGAACAGAAATTAGAACAAACAAATGTACACAATTTTGGATCACGCTCAAGAGTACATCATGAAGAATCAGATGTTCCACCCTCTTTGCTTTTGAAAACACCAAACAGGCCCACCCAGGTTAACACCTTCCCACCTGGCCTATAGCAGATGGACGGCCGGGCAGGACACTCGCCGTTGTGAATGGGTGTCATATGACATCCTGTCAAAACGTGCCGCTCATGCAGCCGCATGGCGGCCTGATCTGTCAATCAGCTGTGTCCATGGGACACAGCCGATGACATATTACTACACCGGCCCGTTGCCAGTGTCTTGTGACCAATCACAGCAGATCACGTCAATTGTATACAATGGATGACTTCCTGTCATGCCATCCATTGTATACAATTATGTTGTTAGCTGTGACTGGTCAAGGCAGTCACATGATACAGACAGGGTCAATCACAGCCCATCTGAATCATGTGATCAGCTTTCCCGATCACAGCTAATCACAAGACTGAATGAATCAGTTTCATTCAGTAACAATGATTGCAAATATCAATGAAATACATTGGTGTAAGCAATCTTCTGTTAAAAAAAAAAAAAATCCTGATCACTTGCCCAGAGTAGTTCAATAGTTCCAGGTGTTTTTTGTTTTATTTAGCAAAAAATAAAAACCCCAGTGGCGATTAAATACCACCAAAAGAAAGCTCTATTTGTATAAAAAAAATATAAAAATTTCATATGGGTACAGTGTTGCATGACAGCGCAATTGTCAACGTGTGACAGCACTGAAAGCTGAAAATTGGCCTGGGCAGGAAGGGGGTATAAGTGCCCGGTATTGAAGTGGTTAACGAAAAGTAAAATGTAATGCTACCAAAGGTATTAGGTTATGCATAAAACATTTGTATATCCAGAATAAAAACCAATTCAGTTTAAGTTTTCAGCCAGAACTGAACCTGCCACAGATATAAAGCAGTCCACAAAGCATACAAAAAAAACTTGCTGCCATCAATCTAGAAATGAACACAGTAGATTACCTCATACACCGAGAGACGGGCAGCCTTCAGTTTGGATACAAAGAGATCTTGATCTTCCAACATCCTGGACATCCTATTCTTGTGCTCCACTGCCTTCTCCCGCTCCAGCAACAGATTCTTAATCTATGGACAGAGGCTTCTATTAAACGAAGGGATTAATTCATGTGGCCACTTTCTCATTCTTGTCCTGAAGGGACAGCTCTATAGAGAAAATTCCAAAAAAACAAGAAGGTAAACTGTTCCCCAAAAACACATAGATTAACCCAAGTTAATCTGCCTGGTCTTTGAGGGTTAATGTGGCACCGGAATGGAACCGATCCTCAATAGAGATGATGACCGATTACGAACAGTGCGCGGTGAGAAGCTACTTGAACGCATCTTCTTACCCGTTCTGCCTCCTGCTGCTCCCACAGCTCCATGTCGCTGATCCTCTGCTCCTCATAGGCCTTCTTAATAGGAGGAATTTCTTCCAGCCGTTTGGCTCTCTCAAAATAGTCGATCTAAAGAAAGAGAGAGTCTCAGACTGCTAAACTCACAAATATCTCAAGCAAACAAAGCAAAGATGGACCCACACCTTCTTCTCCTGGTTCTTCAGGCGCTCCTGTAGTTCTTTTTTCTCCTTTTCTAGCTGCTCCACTTGTTTGGCCATTATGAAGTCTGGATCCAGCTCCTCCAGGTTCTGTAGAGGTTAGCAAAACAGAAGGAGGAAATACCACTGATATTAGAACAACTGTCAAACTCAAACAGAAACACAGACCAGACAGAAATGTATTAATATCTACACTATGTGACCCCCAATAATTCCAGACACCCCACACACATCAACTCCACCTGTAAAATTGCTAACTTTTTCCTTGACCTCCACCCTACTCACCTTGTATACAGTCCCTGCCATCCATTATTCAATTCAATATTTAGTGCAAGGGCCTACCTGATTGCATACAAATTGAAAGTGTTTAGGTTTGACTTCATATTATATGGTTTTGGTATTTCTAAAGGAAAATTGTGCAAGAAAATTGTATAATGTACGGCAACTCTTTCCTTTTACAAAGAACATACATCTTCAATACAAAACCATGTTTGCTGCACCTTAAGGCACGCCAGAGGCTCGCTCTTACCTCTGGTTAAACATTAGGCCACCACGTACAGCTTCACTCTTACCTCTATATCGATGTCCTTGAAAGCTTTGGCTCCCAGTTCCGTTTTCTTGATCTGCTCAAGTCGCTCACGCACAGTCTTCTTCTTGATCTGCTCATGTTCCTGCAGGATTCGTTCCTTTTCACGCTCTTTGGCCTCTTGACGCAGTCTCTCTCCTCCTCCGCCTTACGCACTTTCTGCATTTCAGCCTCTTTCTGCTCTAGCTCTTCTTTCTCTCTCTGGATATTTAGATTCTCCAGACGCTCTTTGCGCTCTTCAATAGTCTGCCGACGAGCCAGGATGCGCTGGTGTTCCTTTCTTGAGTTCTTCAGGAAAGCCGTTATGGCCACCTGTTGCTGCTCCTCCTTTTCTTGCTGGATAGAGGAAAGATTGACAAAGTAATGAGTGGACTCCTGTGCGTAAGATCCCACAAGCCCTCTAACAGCAGAATGAAACACTGGGCCATCAACAGCGCCCTCCCCCCATACAGTGGAGGAATGACACACAGAGCATCAGATCCCAATACAGTGAAGGAATGACATACTGGGATGATTTATGGGTGCTACACCAGCTGTTACCCATAGCAACTAATGAAGTTCCTTGATTCCTTTTCCTAGAAAAGAAAATATAAAGTCTAATTGGCTGTCAGAGCAGGTAATGAAGATTCTGCTTTCAGCATGCCCCATTTGTTTCATTGGATGCTCCATCACCCCACATTGACATCATACACACCAGTGCTTGGAGATCTGTAGTCTAGTTTCAGCACAAATTTTGTAATGCTTACCAATTGTCGTTTTCACAAATTTGTTTACAGTACCATATTTTATTATATCTCGTACAGATCTGTTAACGCTCCCTTCTAATAATGGTCATCTGTACATCAAGGGAAACACAATTAACCTGTTCTTAATGATTGCCGATATGGTGTCAATATGCTTACGGTGATTTCATGGCTGGCCAGAACCGAAGCAGGATTACAATAAGGAACAGTAAAGTGCAGTCACTGTGCAGCACCCCTAAATTATGGTTGCCACATCTAATGAACCCATATTCCCCCCTCCATGTAAACATAGGATTACACAGAAAAACAAAAAAAAAACCAAAACAAAAAAAAAAAGCTCATGAGATTAAAAAAAAGAGACACACTAACGAAGGCTGCAAAAAAATGACTGCTAGACTGCAATGTTGATCCAAGAGCCTCAAAAAATCATAAGCCACTACCTTGGAAAATATGCATATGCAGAGCTTTGACACTCCTCCGACTTCAATAGCTATATGCATGCCCCAAATCAGTGTCCTATTAAAGACAGCCAAGCAACTGGCATTTTCAGAAGGTGGTAAGTATAGGTAGCCTCCATATTTTCCGTATTCATACAGGTTCCTGCTCTATTCTGCAGCTTTTCAGAGATCAGCCATCTCCACCAAAATCAACAAACCTGAATTTTTAGTGGAGAACTACTAATCAGCAGCTATAAGAATGCAGTCTTTCAAAACTCGGATGTCAGCTGCTGGTTTGTACAATGTACTCTGCACTGCGAACATCCAAACCTAGCTTAATGTGGCCCACCAGACTCAGGGACAGTGCAGGAACCTGAATGAAAGATTTGCATGAAACTGGAGCAAGTCCAAACAATAATTAGCCTCCTCCAGCCCACTAGGGATACTGATGCTGAACAATGAAGAGAGAATGCCTCAACAAGCCTGGAGTATACTCACCAATATATGGGCAGGCTTAATGGCAGACACCGCCTTGGATAACACAGAGGACATGGCCGTCAGTTGATTTCGAATCTGTTCAGAGGGCATGTTCTGCAGGAAAGGTCCCACTGGGGGCGTCCTCCCGCGCAGAGTAATTCAGGTCTGAACCAAAGCTCAGGGTACGCGATGTGTGATCTATCCGAACCTGTGCAAAGACATAATGAATACAAAGAACATCCCATATGGCAAAGGCTGACAGAGGGTCGAAGGTCAACCATGTACGAAGGGGACTGGCACTGCAACTACAGCCAGTTACACTGCTAATTAACCTTCACATTCATCTTGCACACCAGAAATAGTGGCACTCAGCTGGGTAAACCGAGTGCACCAATGAGATGTGCCTGGAAGCCATTACTGCACACAACTGGAAGATCATGCTGGAGGCGTACCTGAAGATCACAGTGACGAGCGGCATCAACAATGGCTCTTTCCAGCATAAAGGCATCAACGAAAGGGACCAGCGTGGTAAGACGGGAGAACTCGATGCTCTGATATATCTGAGCCACCTGTAAATGGAAAGAAAGCCCTTAGAAGCAGTAAAACTTTAAGGCTAGAGATGCTCCCAGGCATATATTTTATACAGAAGAGCAGATATCAGATACAAAAAGTGATAGCTCAAACTTTTCCAATCAGAGTTCTGTGGAACCCTAGGTTTCCTCCAGAGGTAGCTAGGGGTTTCTTGAGCAATTTGTGACTCCAAGATATTTAACCACTAACTTACAATGATCTTTTTAGCTATATGTAAGCATTCTTCACAGTGGTCACCATCGTAAGAAGCGTTCTCCCACTGACCAATATTCCAATGTACTGTATGAGATGTAGCTATAGTCATTATTAGCCGATGTTCCCCTCTAGTTATTCCATGGATTCTTCCATGTTAAAAAGTTGAGAGAAACCAGACTACCTGCTGCAGCAGACGGAGAATAGTGTTGTTCTGTAGTTGTGGAACGTACTGCTGAAGTTCTGGCTCCTTCTCGGCCTGTTCCTTCACCCAGTCCAGGACCTGTTTATGGACAGAAGTTGACAGTCAGTATATAGAGAAAAACACAGCCAGAAACACAAGACAAACACCTTCAGATGTCTCTACCTTAGTAACACGGGTACAAAGCTTTAGAGGGTGAAATTCCATTTCCAGCCAGTTGTACAGCTCCTTCACTTCTGGAACCACATACTGGAGCACATTAAACCGGACCTAGGACACAAAAGCCATTAGACCAACGAACAACATTCGCCCCAAACTAGAGAATAGGCTCAGCCTGTTTTCAGCTACACTGATCCATAATCCAAACAGAGTTGCCATTGACACTGCTCTTTATGGAGTCTGCTGTCACAATGTCAATCCAAACACAAACTATACATCACCATGATCCCAGACACTCTCCCCAATACAAGCCCTTAATGCCTAAAACTGAGCTCTTCAGATCGAGCAGATACTGGAGACTGCAATGTGGGCATCTAACTGCAAACAAGGTGGAAGTAAATCTTCATTTCTCAGGACCCTCATGCAGCTCACCATGTCATTAATAAGGCCGACTCGATTGGGTGGCGATTGCAGCCCCAGCAAGGTAGCCAAGCGTCTCTGCTTCTCCACAATAATGCCATCCATGTCCAGAAGGCGGGCAATATCTGTGCGTTCCGGGGTTATGGGAATGGAAAGCGTGGCCAGTAGGACTCTGGTGGACATCCTGAAAGACAGCAGAACAGAGGAGGGAAATTGAAGCACATGTATGCAGATGTCAATGTAAAAGTTGGAAGAGTAGAAGAGGACTACTGAAAACATGTAGCATACAGAGGAGAGGAAATAGCTCAAAAAAGACGGAAGAGCAGAAAATGGCAAAACTCAGCAAGACCAAGGAAGAGAAAGGTTGGTAAAATAGGCACAGGAAACGTACAGCCATTGTTAATGATTAAAGTGTCATTTCCCCCCCAAAACAGATTTTAATACTTTGTTAGCCTCGCTTACAATCACCGACCACTTTATTAGGTACACCTTTTCAATTGCTTGGTAACACAGATTGCTAAATCAGCCAATCACATGGTAGCAATTCAATGCATTTAGGCATGCAGACATGGTGAAGACGACTTGCTGAAGTTCAAACCGAGCATGATAATGAGAAAGAAAGGGGATTTAAGTGACTTTGAACGTGGCATGATTGCTGGTGCCAGACAGGCTGGTTGGAGTATTTTAAAACTGCTGGTCTACTGGGATCAGCATGCCTAGGGTTTACAGAGAATGGTCTGGAAAAAAAGAAAATATCCAGTGAGCGGCTGTTGTGTGGAGGAAAATGCCTTGTTGATGATTGACGTCAAAGGAGAATGAGCAGACTGGTTGCTGCGACATTCAGATGGTAGGGTCAGAATTTGACATAAACAACATGAAAGCATGGATGCATCCTGCCTTGTATCAACGGTTCAGGCTGGTGGTGTAATGGCGTGGGGGAGATTTTGTTGGCACTAGCAAGGTGTACCTAATAAAGAAGCCGGTGAGTGTACTTGCTGTGACAAATACGCTCTTCTCATTCTCTTCCAAGGTAGATCCATACTACGGGGGGGGGGGGGGGGGCACACTACTTTGCAGGGTCTCCCTGGAGCTCAGTGTAGCCACCCATACACACGTGTTTCAGACACTGACTTCAGCTGAACGGTGCCTCTACATGTTCACTGTCTGCACATCATATGCTTGCCCCCAGCCACTAAAGGATGAGAGCAATTGTCAAGCAATCCAGGAGGAAGAGCATTTTGTAGTGGGATATGTCTGAAGACCACCCACCACATCATATACCTGCCTTTAGACCAGCCAATACAAAGACATGGACGATTGACTGAGTCCAGTTGGAAGCCAGAGTCCCGCCAGATACAGGTCTCGTGGCAATAGGTGTCGGAAGGTGACTGACAGCGTCAAGCACCACAGAAGCTGCACTGCTAATTTCCTTCCATCTTAATGTGACACATGAGAAAAATATCTTAACTCCCACAGAGAGAGAGAGGAAGACAATGGCATGTGCCGGACCACATAGGATGACCTCACCAACCTCTGCATCTCCTCCTGGGTCAGATTCTTCCTCATCTCTCTGGATAGATGGTAAAGGCGATGTAGGGTGGACGCATGAAACAAGGTGTTGCCCGACTTCCAGAACACTGTGGAGACCTTGTTGTAGTAATTTGCCATCAGCTGAGGCTTTGGTGGCTTCTTAGACAAGGCGAACAGACCGTGAATATCCTCAACGGCTTTAAAGGCTTCCTATAAAAAAAAAATTCAGATGAGACTGCCATGAGTAGCAGGAAGGGTTGAAGGTCGTAGGGGAACCCGAAACACACCTGCCAAAGCTCCATGCTGATGGCACTGTCCAGCTGGACCAGCCGGGTCTCCAGGTGCATGGACTGACTTTCTGGATTGTTCAGATTGATGGCGGTGCTCTGATTGTGATGGCGCTGAATTTGACCCAAATGCATCCTCAAATTGTCACACAGCTTCCGAAACTCAGCCTTCCTGGTGTAGAGAAGGCAAAACTTGAAGGCTGCAAACAAACAGAAAGGTTAGGTCATAATGGAATGTCACTAGAGCACCAGATAGGGGACAAGGATCTCCAGAGAACTGCTCACCTTGCTGAGCGATGTCATGATACAGACGCTCCACCTTGGAGTTGTTTCGTAGAAGATCCAGACATTGTCTGTATGATTCCCAGAGAAACTTCACCCATGGTGTAAGAAGCAGCCGGTCAGTCCGGTCTTGAGTGTCTTCCCCACTCACCGCACTCAGGAGGACACTGCAAACACAAAAGACGTGAGTTCACCATACAGAGCTAATGAGGAGACAAACAATTCACCAACTGCACCTTCCTGACATACCTCTCTGGGGTCTGAATGTTATCCAGATCCTCAATATCCAAAACCATTTGCTGTGAGGACTCCTTAGCAGCCTCAGTTCTTTCCTCCGCCAACTTGAGGTAGGCCCGAACCACATCTTCCAGGGACTTTATGTTAACCTGTCCAACAACAAGGCATCATTTATAACTCAGACATATAATGCAGCGCTGTACATAGAACACCGAGCCAGTCCACATCAGTCTTTGCACCAGAGGAGCTTACACTCTAATGTCCCACCACAGTCTATGTGTGGCTGGAAGGAGAGACACATGTTAATCCCTTCCAGGCCACGACTGGCTGCTGCCCTCACCTGCTGGCAGATGTTCTTGTACTGGTAGAGGCCCTCCTTGGCCAGGTGGCTCTTGCGGAGGTCCACACACAGCTCCAGGTACTTCAGCATGATTGGCTCGTGGATCTTCTGCCATGTTCGGTGCTTCTTACTCTTTATCACGTCGTACAAAACGTCCAATGCTGGCTGCTTCTTCCCGACTTCCAGGAACTCTGTGGAGACATCCCAAGAGTCAGAACCCATACCTCATGTGTGTTCCCTGAACTCCATCTACTGTCCCCTATACTATATCCATTATTGCCTCCAAATCTACTGCCCCTCATGTGTCCCCTGTACCCCATATACTGTCCCCATGGATTTCCCCTACAGTACATATACTGCCCCACCATGTTGCCCCCTGTACCCCACCCACTGCCACCCCCCTTATTTCTCCATCTACTGCCACCCAGTGATTCAGCACCCCCATCTACTGCTCCCTTTGTCCCCATGTACCTCATATACTGTCTCCCTGACCTCCATATCCCATCTATTGCTGCCCCTTTCCATGTGTCCCCTTGTAAGTACATCTCTCGCTCCCTGTACCCCATATACTGCCCCCCCCATGTGTCCCTGTACCCCACCCCACTGCACCTTCATGTTTCCTGTCCCTTATCCACCGTCCCACCATGTGCTCCCCGTACTCAATCTACTCACCCCCCCCCCTCCACCTGTCCCCTGTAAGCTTTTACTGTCTTCCTATGTGTTCTTTAATACTGCCCATCATCTTCCCTCATATGTACTCTGTACCCACCCATCTATTGTCCCTGTAGTCTACCTACTGCCCCCCCATGTGTCCCTTCTGATTGTCTATGGTCACCTGTACTCCATCTACTGCCCTGCATGTGTCCCCTAACACCCCCCCTCCCCCATCTACTGTCCCCCATGTATCCTCTATCAACTGTCACCTGTACACAATCTACAGCCCCTCCACTGAGTCCCCTACCAACTGTCCCCCATTTACTGTCACCTATACCTCAACTACTGTTCCCAATGTGTCCCTTGTCCCATCTACAGGCACCTGCCCCCAATGTGTTCTCATCCTCCATCTGCTACCCCTACCCCCCCCTCCCCGCAATGTGTCCCCTGTCCCCCATCTACTATCACCTCCCCTCCATCTACTGTCCCCAATGTGCCCCCATCTACTGTTACCCCTGTTCCCCATGTGTCCCCCCATCCACTGTCCACAATGTGTTCCCTGTCCCCATCTACTTTCCCAAATATTTCCCCCATCTACTGTCAACCCCTCCCCCTCATATGTGTTCCCTGTCCCCATACACTGCCTCCTGCACCCATGTGTCTGTCGTCACCCATATACTGTCCCTTGACCCCTATCTACTGTCACTTGTACTCCATCTACTTCCCCCAATACGCGTCCTCTGTCCTCCATCCACTGTGTCCCCCCCCCCCCGTGTGTCCCCTGTACTCCCTATGTGTCTCCTGCCCCCCCCATCTACTGTCTCCAATGTGTCCCCTGTCTCCCCTCTACTGTACCCCCCCCTCCCCATCTACTGCCCTCTACGTGTGTACCTGCCCCCTTAATGTTCTGTGACCTGTTCCCCCATCTACTGTCAACAATGTGTCCCCCATCTACTGTTCCCCCATCTACTGTTACCCCCTCACCCCCATCTACTGTCCCCAGTGTGTTCACTGTCCCTATGTCACCTACCCCCATCTACTGTTAACCCCCCATATGTCCCCTGTACCCCATCCCCCCCCCACACATATGTCCCCCTGTACCCCACCCCCCCATATGTCCCCTGCACTACAAATGTCCCCAGTAGCACATATGTCCCCTTTTCCCCCTTATGTCCCCCATACCCCACCCCCCCATATGTCTCCTGTACCCCATTCCGCCCCCACATATGTCCCCTGTACCACATATGTCCCCTGTAGCCCTCCCCATATGCCCCCTGTACCAGACCCCCCTCCCCCATATGCCCCCTGTACCACATATGTCCCCTGTAGCCCTCCCCATAGCCCCCTGTACCAGAACCCCCCCCCCCCCATATGCCCCCTGTACCAGACCCCCCCCCCCCCATATGCCCCCTGTACCAGATCCGCCCCTCATTTGCTCCTTGTACTACATATGTCTCATGTACCCTCTGCCCCCTGTACAACATATGTCTCCTGTACCCCATCCCCCCATATGCCTTCTGTACCAGATTCCAGACCCCCCCATTTGTCCCCTGTACCCCATCCCCGCCATATGTCCCCTGCACACAAATGTCCCCTGTAGCACATATGTCCCCCTTTCCCCCCTTATGTCCCCCATACCCCACCCCCCCATATGTCTCCTGTACCACATGTCCCCTGTACCCCATCCCCCCCCCCCACATATGTCCCCTGTAGCCCTCCCCATATGCCCCCTGTACCAGACCCTCCCATATGCCCCCTGTATCAGATCCGCCCCCCCATATGCCCCCTGTATCAGATCCGCCCCCCCATATGCCCCCTGTACCAGATCCGCCCCTCATTTGCTCCTTGTACTACATATGTCTCCTGTACCCTCTGCCCCCTGTACCACATATGTCTCCTGTACCCCATCCCCCCATATGCCTCCTGTACCAGATTCCCCCCCCCCCCATATGTCCCTTGTACAACATACATCCCCTGTACCCAATCCCCCCACATATGGCTGCTGCACCAGATTCCCCCCCATATGCTCCCTGTACCAGATTCCCCCCCCCCCCCCCCAATATGCCCCCTGTACCACATATGTCTTCTGTACCCCATTCCCCCCCCCCCCATATTCCCCCTGTACCACATATGTCCCCTGTACTCCACCCCCCCATATATCCCTTGTACCACATATGTCCCCTGTACCCCATCTCCTAATAGATCCCCTGTACCCCATCCCCCCCCATATGCCCCCTGTAACACGTCTCCTGTACCCCATCCCCCCCGTATGCCCCCTGTACACCCCCATATTCCCCCTTTATCAGATCCCCCACCCCCCCAATACGCCCCCTGTACACCCCCCCATATGCCCCCTGTACCCTATATGTTCCCTGTACCCCCCCACCCCCATATGCCCCCTGTACCCCCCCCCCCTGTACCACATATCACCCCTGTACACCCCCTTTGTAATCCCCCTGTACCACATGTCTCCTGTACCCCCCCCCCCCCTGTTCAAATGCCCCCATATGCACCATGTACCACATATGTACCCCCAATATGCCCCCTGTACCACATATGTCACCTGGATCCCCACCATATGCCCCTGTACCATATATGTCCCCTGTATCCCATCCCCCCTATACGTTCCCTGTACCACATATGTACCCCCCCATATGCCCCCTATACCAGATTCCCCCCCATATGTCCCTTGTACCTCCCCATATGCCCCGTCCCACATATGTCCCCTGCATTCCCCCATACCAGATTCCCTCCCATATGTCCCTTGTACCTCCCCATATGCACCCTGTACCACATATGTCCCCTGCATCCCCCCCCCCCCCCATTATGCCCCCTGTATCAGATCCCACCTACATGCCCCCTGTACCACATATGTACCCCCCCCCATATGCTCCTTGTACCATGTCCCCTGAACCCCTCCCCCCTATACCACATATGTCCCCCGCATCCCCCCATATGCCCCCTGGACCACATATGTACCCCCCATATGCCCCCTGTACCACATATCCCCCCCATACGCGCCCCCTGTACCACATACCACCCCCTACAATATGCCCTCCGTACCTGAGCCCCCCCCCCCCCGTACATGCCCCCTGCATCAGACCCCCCCATACACTATCCCCCCCATATGTCCCCTCTGCACCCCATGCTCCTCCGGCAGTGGTGGGATGGGATTGGTGGGGAGGGTCTGTCTTCCCCGGGTAACAATAGTCCTATAGTATCCCGCACAGAGCAGTATGGAGGCCGCCATTGCTGGGCTCCCCTGACTATGCGGATTCCCGGGATGAGGACACCGATGGCGCTCCCCGGGAAGTGGGATGAATACAGAGGATCGTCATATCGCCCCCTTCTTGTGTCTTACTCACCGTTGGCCCGCTTTAGGGCGTTCTCCGGGCGTTGGAAATAGGCCGGCATGGCGGCGGCTGATCGGACACCACGCCGGGAGAGAGAGGGCAGGGGCGGGGCCTAGGGACGTCAATTCCGGCGGCAGCACGCTCCCCGGGGCGGAGCTGGCGGGAACGGCCTTCGTCACATGGCCCCTCCCCGGGAGGGGCGGAGCGGGATGGCGGCTGAGGGGCTGAGCAGCGTCGCTCTGATCGGTGAGGGATCGGCTGAGTGTTAGACACAGAGATACACAGGGTGCTCGGACCCCGATATCACCGCCATTGTTATTGTCAGTGCCGGCTCCACCCTGTCATGGGAGGGAGTCCACCTATCACCCCAATATGTCCCCCCAAATCACTGACCCCTTCTCCAGATGTAATATTCACGTCCCCCCTCCCTCATACATTACCCCCCCCCAAGATTTGATAGATCCTAATATGTAATCCTCTTCCCCATACATGACCCCACCCCAAGATTTGACACCCCTTCCCCATGTTACCCATCTATCATATGTGACCCCCCTCTTCTGTATGTACCCCCCTCCCCAATATCCAACACCCCCTTTTCCATAAGTGTTCCCCCTCCCCCATGTGTGACCCCCTCTTCTGTATGTATCCCCCTCCCCGATATCCAACACCCCCTTTTCCATAAGTGTTCCCCCTCCCCCATGTGTGACCCCCTCTTCTGTATGTATCCCCCTCCCCGATATCCAACACCCCTTTTCCATAAGTGTTCCCCTTCCCCCATATGTGACCCCCTCTTCTGTATGTATCCCCCTCCCCGATATCCACACCCCCCTTTTCCATAAGTGTTCCCCTTCCCCCCATGTGTGTATGACCCCCTCTTCTGTATGTATCCCTCCCCCCTGACCCCCCCCGTATATCCCCCTCCATCCAACCCCCTCTTACATAAGTGTTCCCCCTCCCCCATGTGTGAACCCCTCTTCTGTATGTATCCCCCTCCCCGATATCCAACACCTCCTTTTCCATAAGTGTTCCCCCTCCCCGATATCCAACACCCCCTCTTCCATAAGTGTTCCCCCTCCCTGATATATCCAACTGATATCCAACCCCCCTCTTCCATAAGTGTTCCCCCTCCGCCATTTATATCCAACACCCCCTCTTCCATAAGTGTTCCCCTTCCCCCATGTGTGACCCCCTCTTCTATATGTATCCCCCTCCCCAATAGCCAACACCCCCTCTTCCATAAGTGTTCCCCCTCCCCAATATCCAACACCCCCTCTTCCATAAGTGACCCCCTCTTCTGTATGTATTCCTCTCCCCAATATCCAACACCCCCTCTTCTATAAGGGTCTCCTCATATGTGACCCCCTCTTCTGTATGTAACCTCCTCCCCAATATCCAACACCCCCCCTTTTCCATAAGTGTTCCCCCTCCCCCATGTGTGACCCCCTCTTCTGTATGTATCCCCTCCCCAATATCCAACACCCCCTTTTCCATAAGTGTTCCCCCTAACCCATGTGTGACCCCCTTTTCTGTATGTAGCTCCTCTCCCCAATATCCAACACCCCTCTTACATAAGTCCCCCCCCCCCCCCCCTCATCCATAAGTGCCCCTTTCTGGATATAACCCCCCCCCCCACACACACACACACACACAATATTTGTCACCCCCTTTTCTGTATGTGACCTAGAAATGGGAAGACCCTGGAAAAAGTGGGCAAAAAACTGTTTATTTTTGTTTTTTCAAAGCTGTTTTTTCCCAAGAAAAACTGGAAAACAAAAGTATGGAATATGTTCTTTTCCAATGATATGTAACATATCTTAGACATGGTATTCAAACTATATAACATGAAGACCTTAATGAAAGATTTCTGAGACTTTATGTAAAGTCTTAACTTATTGCAAGTTCTGTCAGCTAAAGACAAGCAAATCCTGGAATACAATTCAAGTAGCACTGTACTTCTCAGTGCACTTCTCGGACAAGAGAAATATGCAGTTCTGCCACTAGGAGGCACTGTGGTTGAAAGGCTCCAGTCTAGTTTGCTTGTGGGCTCCATCTTGTACCTCCTACATTTGGGTGATTGTTGGGATACAGTAGATGATGGTTTCTGTCCTCAGCTCTTCAGTGACAAGTATGATGTAAATGTGTCTGACAAATGAGTTTCTCTTTATAACCTTTAAATGATTCCTATTAATGTTCCCCACCATCACAGCATAATGGTTCCCTATAGTCTGGTCAGTAAATTGGTTTTTCTTCTCCTCCTCTCAGTAAAATGGTGAAACAACATCCAGAGTCTGGAAACCTTTCCATAGTGCAATGTCTGCTGAGAGCAAAGCTGCAATTTTCAAATATTATAAGAAGAAATATTCTTTTCCAAATGCTACAAGGATGGCAAAACACATCCTGGCATGCCAGAGGTTATAGACTGAAATGATGAGAACCAGAATGAAAGTGTGAGGAGCCTTTCCTTCCAGAGTTTTCATTCCAGAAAACACTCTTTCTGCTGCTTCTGGATCATCACAAAGTGTTTCTTCACCAGCAGCATCTTCCAGGAAGGAAATGTTACAAACCACGGCCTCCTGACAATACACAGTCCCTTCAATTACAGAGGAAACGACACCCGGAAATCAGGAGAACGCTCATCAAGATCTTCATAGAGGAATATATGATTGTGGATCAGCATTGTCAATAACTGATCATGATATTGGCAGGGAGCGTTGTCATTATTACCAGGGAAGGGGGTTGGTTGCCTGTTCTCATGTGTAGGTGAAATGTTCTCATCATACAGTCCTTGCTATTCCATTTGTAATACAAAATCAAAGTTTAAGAAGCCATTTTAGTTCATTTAGTGAATTAGCTGTACTTTTATTTTAGACATGATACTTTATATACACTGCATGTCCCCTTCCCGGTGTAACCAAACTGCTTCCAATGTGTAAAACTACTGCACACTGGATTTTTTTTTTAATTTTTCAAAATGCTCCACTTTTTCGAAAAAAAAAAAAAGTTTTTGTTTCCCCATGGCTTCAAAATTTCCAGAAATGTTACATCTCTAATGTGACCCCCCCCATATGTGACCTCCTCTTCCATATGGTATTGTTAATATTCCCATTGCACATGTGCCTGACTAAGGGGTCCTGCGTGTCTCTGAAACAATGCACTTGGTTCTTTGTGATGTGATCTAAAGTCTTGGATGACATTTGATGATTCATGGTGTGCTGGCGAAGATGTGTATTGACCCCTCTTCCATATGTGACACCCCCTCTCTCCTGCTACTACAGAGAGGGACCAAAATGGAGACACCCTGTGGGTTTGGTGTTACCCGTTCGTCACAGTGGAGATGCGGCAACTTCTACTTAGGAAATGTCGTCTGCAGGAGGAGGAGCGTCCTCTCTACACGTTCCTGTATGGCCAGCACCGAAGGATCTGGTTCTACATCACACCCACCCGGGTAGATGGTGGCGGCTCTGCACTGGACAAGGTGAGTGCACATCCCCCCTGCCCCACCCACCCAAACACATCCTGGGGGTCACAGCTTCATGGTTACTGACTTCTCACCATTGACATCCTCTTACTCTTCTCATCATGGTCATCCTCTGACTCTCTTCTTGACATGGCCATCCTCTGACTCTCTTTATGTCATGGTCATCCACCTGATTCTCTTCTCAACATGGCTACCCTCTGGCTCTATTGTCATGGTCATCCCCTGAATCTCTTCATGTCACGGGTATCCTCTGACTCTTCCTGTCATGGTCATCCTCTGACTCTTCTTGTCATAGTCACCCCCTTGTTTCTATTCTTGTCATGGTCATCCTCTGACTCTCATTTCTATCCTCAGGTGACACATTTCTGTGTAGTTCTGACAGCGAAGGACTTTAATCCAGAGAAATATGCAGCGTTTGGGCAGATCCTCAGCCGGTATGTGTGTAATGCTCTGATCATTTGCTGTGTCTCCGCCCACTTTCTCTTCTGGTTTGGATGGAGCCGGAGGAGGCGGATGGGCAATAAGGCGGAGCTCTGACCTCACCCAGCGTTTCCTTTCTCAGAATCTATGAGACGCACGGCAGTCCGGTGCCCATGGTAGAGACTTACATCTCCGTATTCACCAAGGGGACCTGTCAGAGCAAAGACAATGGGACCTTCCTGTGCCGCGACTATGACCAGCGCAAAGCCTTCATGTCTGGATCTGTGAAAGGTATGTCCAGGTCTGCAGCCCACTCTGACCTGAATGCATACTTATTGAGACAGCCACTCTCTGACCAAAGGGGGCATCTAATTGTGATTGGTGGCTTTCCTGGGCACTTATTGGCCAGAGGCTCAGTGGTTGAAAGTCATTTTGGGTGGAGACTCAACAGAAGAAGCAAATGCAGGCTATATTGGGTGGGGGATTGGTGGAAGGGGAAGTTTGAAGCCATACTGAATGGAGGCTCCGTGGGAGAAGCAGTTTGAGGATGTAGTTGGTGAAGGTTCAGTAAAGAGGTAGTTGAAGGCCATTTTGGATGAGGCTTAGTGGGAGGGATAGTTGAAGCCATGTTGGGCAAAGGCTTAGTGGCAGAGGTAGCTGGGGGTCATATTGGGTGAAGGTTCAGTCAGAGATACAGTTGGAGGCTATATTGGGTGGAGGGACCACTGGAGGCCCTACTAGTGAGAGGGGCAGTGGAAGGCCATATGGGGTGGAGACTCAATGGGAAAAAAGACAGTTGAGGGCTAAATTGGGGGGCTTAGTGGGAGGAACAGTTGAAGGCCATATTGGGAGGAAGCTCAGTGGGGGAGGGGCAGTTGGAGGACATGGGGGGTGGGTTCATTGAAAGAAGTAGTTGAATGGCATATTGGCAGAGGTGGTTGAAGGCCATATTAGGTAGAGGCTCAGTGGGAGAGGTAGTGCGAGACCAAGTTAGGGAGAGGCTTAACAAAAGAGGCACCTGAAGGCCATATTGGGTAAGGAACAGTGGAAAGGGCGCTTGACAACTTCTGGCTCTCTTACAGATGTGGTGTTGCAGTTTGGGATGGAGTCAGTCATTCTGTACACGGCTCTGATGCTGAAGAAGCGTATTGTTGTCTATCACCCCAAGGTGGAGGCGTTGTTGGAATTTAGCAGGTAGTTTGCTCACAGGCAGGGCACGAGGGGAGAAGATTGGACGATGATCATTGTTGTGGGGGCATTCCAGTTTAACATCATTCGTTTCAGGTCTCTCCCAGCTCTGGTGTGGCATCGGCAGGACTGGTCAATTCTTCAGCCATACGTCCACCTGATTCCGGATGAGATTGACGCTCTGAAATCTATCTCAGGTACAACCAAATTACCTATACACAGTTCAGCCCATAACCTGACTGGCGGGGGTCTTGCGCTCCTCTCACCTGACTGGCGGGGGTCATGCGGTCCTCTCACCTGACTGGCGGGGGTCTTGCGGTCCTCTCACCTGACTGGCGGGGGTCATGCGGTCCTCTCACCTGACTGGCGGGGGTCATGCGGCTCCTCTCACCTGACTGGCGGGGGTCATGCGCTCCTCTCACCTGACTGGCGGGGGTCATGCGCTCCTCTCACCTGACTGGCGGGGGTCATGCGCTCCTCTCACCTGACTGCGGGGGGGTCATGCGCTCCTCTCACCTGACTGGCGGGGGTCATGCGCTCCTCTCACCTGACTGGCGGGGGTCATGCGCGCTCCTCTCACCTGACTGGCGGGGGTCATGCGCTCCTCTCACCTGACTGGCGGGGGTCATGCGCTCCTCTCACCTGACTGGCGGGGGTCATGCGCTCCTCTCACCTGACTGGCGGGGGTCACATACAGTGTGCTCACCTCTGTGAGGGTCTCTGACATTTCTTCTCTTCAGGTTATATTGCGGGATTTCAGGAGGCTGATGTCATTAACCGCTCAGATCTGTATGACATCTTTGTGAATCTGGCAGAGAACACCATCTCCATCTCTCACAGTGCCAAAGGTAAACATTACCCTGCAGTGCCGCCATCCTCTCCAGGCACTGAGGGGTTCCTCCTCTGTGTCTGGCACATGTAGGATAATATATATTGGATAATTGCAGGCAGGGCAGCATTCTCCGCGTTCCCAGCGACCCCTTCTATTCCGCGTTCCCAGCGATCTCTTGAATTCCGCGTTAACATAGACCCCTTGTATTCTGCGATCCCTTGTACCCCGCGTTCCCAGCAATCTATTGTACCCCGTGTTCCCCACAATCCTGTGCACCACGTGTTCCCAGGAGTTTTATGTTCCCCAGCTCTCCCGTGTACTCCTTGTTCCCATGAATCCATTGTACTCCCTGTTTCAGGCTCCTGTTGGGGTCACAATAGCTGATCCCACAATGCCCATTCCCTAGCTCTCTCTGATCTCTACTTCCTGACCTGAAATGAGCGTGCTGGAGCGTCAGAGCGCCTGGTACTTATTTCCAAGCGGTGACTCTGGAAGAACTACAGATGCAGGACCAGAATGACAACCAGGGAACTAGTGTTTCACAGAAAGGACCTCGACTCCTATGGTTTCCTGTGCCAGTCAAATGGAAAGTAGGTTGAAACTGGACAGAGCTCTGGACAGTAATCTCTGGTGTATGTACAACAATACGATTACTGGGGAGATATTTACAGTACATCACTCCTAAGATCTGTAGAGACCCTTCAGCTAAATCCTATGTGAATCCCTAAACCTAGGCAGGATGACAGTCATAATAGGGCATACTCTGCGTCAGCTGGGCTGATTGTGTCTCTCTTTCTTCCACAGAGGCGCTGACATTGGGCAAATTGCACAAGGAGATTGGGCAGTTAATGGTGCAGTCTGCAGAGGATTCAGATAAAACGGAGAGCCAGGTGATTAAGGTAAGGGATGTGGCTGGCACTGTGGCATTCTAAAATGACATACACTAAATTATCAGTTAAGAGGCTGCTTTTTACATGCTTAAGGCTAAGTTCACACTAGCTTTGTTAGCAGGCATTAGAAAGACATTTGGGAAGCATTTCAACTCTCCTCAAACATCTACGAAAATTCAACACTTGGCAGCACACAGTGCTGTTCACACTGAAGCGTCAGCGTCGCATCACGGCAAAATTGACGCCTCATGTCCAGTCAAGAGGAGTTGAAGCCTCCCATTCAAGTCTATGGTGATGCTCCTCAAACGCCTGGCAGGCATTTGCAGGACATTTGTGAGGTGGTTGTGGAGCATTAATACCATTAAACTTCATTATAGGCGTTTGTGGTGTGGTTTTAAATCTTGGAAAACGCCTATCAAATGCCTCAAAAAACACACATAGGGCGTTTGGGGAGCATTTGAGGAGAGTTAAAAATGCTTCCCAAATGCTGTCTAACGCCTGTCAAACGCGTTTGGCAAGGGTTAGAAATGAGTCAAGTGTGAATGAGCCCTAAAGCACACCTAAAATACATCTAAAGGCTCTTGTGTGGCAGTCTACACATGGCTCCAATGTAGTTACTGGATGTCCAAGGCTCATAAATCAGGCAGTTATTATATCTCCACTGGGTCAGACAAACCCCCCTTCATTTCTGTCCCATGAGCTCCCCTTTCCAGACACTGCAGCTCAATGGGAGGGTTTCGGGAGCAGAGGCAGTGCTATCAGTCAAGAAAACAGTGGGAGGGGCTAGGTGTGTCCAAGTGCAGATAGACAAGTTACAGGCTTGTGATTCGGCAGTGACCATGATCATAATCCCGCCCATTGATACGGCTTCTCCTCCCACTGTAGTGCAGACACATCTTATATGATAGTGGTGACTCTGCTATGAATTTAGGAGCAGTGCAGCATTGTTGTCACACCATAACACCAAGCTGCAGTAGGTGGACTTAACAAGTACTTGTGGGGCATTGCAGGGGGCTAAGAGGTAACTGAAAGAGTAGATGGACTTATAAATAAGTGCCGCAGCACTTGGTGCTTTTAATGGGAGCTGACAATTCTATATTACGGGTGCCGCACATGCTGTGCTTTATGAATTGGGACTGTTGTGTGTTTTATGAATATGATTGATTAGCTGTAGACAATTTCCTAATCATACATCACAGGACACAGGTCATCTTTATATTCATTATTCTTTGGGTTATGTTGCCACCTTGGTGATGAATGGACACTGGCAGAGAGAAATAGGCAACAATCCTTGATGGGGAAGGGAGGGGCTTTTGCCAGATTGCCTGAGGCCCAGAGCAATGGTACCTGGACCCCTCTCTGTGGAAGATCTGGGAAGGCCTGTAACGTTGCCAGTTGGCACTGAATCCTGTGGGCAGCACAATCCAGGGCACCTGGTATCCAGTAAGCACAGGTTCAGGGCAATGATCTCTTGAGGGCAAGTCAAGTTCCTGGAAAGACCTTCTGGGCAAGTATGCTGCGATGGGTGCTAAGTGTGTATCATTGGCCCATAGCAGTGTTTCAGCCTTACTGAGCTGCATATGTGTGCTAAGCTTGCCACATTCAGCACTGCAAAGCTGTGGCGGTGTTTACTAGGGGCGGCACCACCTGCACTGCATTGCATGATGACATCATCTGAAGCATCTGCACGTGTATGGAAACCATTTTGGTTCATCTGGTGGCCAGACTTCAGGTGCATAAGTGCTCTCTGAGACTGAGTGAGGTACAGAACATCTTTCTCTCTCATCCAGTCAACAGCACAGAGGCATCATCAGGCTTTTCAGCAAGCGTTTTGGGCATGCTTCAGTGTGAGTCATTGTCACCAGATGTCTGGCCTTGGCAGGCACTGCTCTCAGCTGGGTGGTCTATCCCATTCCTGGGGCTGACCTTTTTTAACCATCAGCAAGTGATGATTGAACACAGAGAAGTGGGAGTAAGAACAATGGAGTCGGCCCCCTAATTTCTTTTGCAGGGGGGAAGCACTCTACACAGTTCGCCCCTATTGCTCCCCAAAGGGTCAGCTGAGTTCTGAATCCTTGCCCTTATATGTTTTTTTTTTCACTGTCTCAGGCACATTCCTAGAGTTCCTTTGTGTCTGGGGAGGAATTTTCGGCAGCCATTTCTGGTCTGCGTGAACAGCATTTATGGGTGCTCACTGGCTTAGAATGCATGGAGCACAAACAGGGGGAGTTCTCCTTCCACTCCTTCTCTGGCACAGAGGGATGAGGTGTTGAAGGAAGCTATGAACAAGGATGATGAGCTAGAGGAAGCCAGAGAGCATCAGGAGTCTTCGTGGATGAATCCTCTCAGGAAGAGACTTGGGGTCATGGCCTGTCGCAGATACACAGGACCACAATTTTTTTTTTTCTTTTTGGTGGATGTTGGAGCAGATTTAAAGCTGCCGGTTCCAGACTCTACTTCCCCAGAAGGTTTAGGTATTGGTGGCAACCTCATTTCAGGAAGAGATGGATGCCGATTGGACTCACCCAGAGGTGTTTTTGCCTGATGGTTTGTCCAGCAGTTCCACATGGAGAAGGAGTTCTATAGCCTGTCTATGGCTATATCCTACCTGAACAAGACTCCAGAGCCGCCTTCTCTGTTAGGAGCAGCTCTGCAGCTGGTGGTGGCTGTGGTGAAAGTCTGCCAAGCACTAACATATGCTTAGGTCCAGGACGTCTGATCATGAGAATCCTGCCATTGGAAACTTTTGAGGCTTAGTGTAAAGTCTGTCCTTATGAGGACAATCCTGTGGCTCAAATGCTGGTCAGCTGAACTGCTTTGTAAGTAGCAACTTTGTTCTTTGTATGGTCCTTCCTTTGATGCTTTCATCCCGAAGCTGACTGTGGTTGAATGCTTTTGCCCTGGCTACTGGGAAGTATTTCTTTATAAGCCACAGGTCTCCGACTCTGACTGAAAGCTTACCAGAAGAACTAGGGTGTCACGTGGATGGCGCTGACCATGGCCTCCTACCCCATACTGAAAGCACTGCGAGAATAGAAAAGAAAGCTGCAGAGATTTCAAATCCCCAGACTGGTGAAGCTACTTTTTGGTGTCTGACAGCAGCAGAGATCATGGCTATCTGCTACAGCGGGACTGGTAGGGATGAGGAGGGGGTCCAGTGGATGGATCAAACCACTGGAGTCTGGGGGGAGAGAGATGCTGGAGATGTGGGGAACAAAGCCGTGGGAGAGGCAGGAGGAGCCAAAGCCACAGCCACTGATGTCCGCAGTTGGATCGGGAGCCAGAGATTTCCTGGTGGAACCCATCATTCAGGGTTCCTGTGTGAACTCCGGCTCAAAGTTACTATGACAAGCCTGGCTTCACATAGGAGCTGTGCAGGAAACCGCTTGCAATACAGACAGGAATTGCACCGAATTCCCGTTCAAATCACTTGCAATTCTTTTCAGTGCGATTTGAGCTCATTCATTTTGTATGGTCTCAAATCACAATGCAAAAGGTGTCTGTTTTGGATAGCAGTAGCATTTGAAAGAGTACGAGTACTTATGCAAGTACTCGGTATCAGCTCAACCCTTCCAGAGAGTTCAGTATGGTACAAACATCAACAGTCTTTGGATCTGCCCATGCATCCTATGTCCTATGGCCAGATTGTCTCTGGAATGATGGATTTCATTGCAGATGCTGGATATTGGGAAAACATTTCTTTTGATAACTTGGAAGATTCTGATGACGAATGCCAGTCTGTTGGGCTGGTGAGGTGTCCTGGAGAACTTCTCGGTTTAGGGAATTGCTGGCTCTTCAGCAATGGTCTGTCTACCTTTGGGGTCACCTGGTCTGGTTGCAGTCAGACAGTGCCATGGTGGTGGAATACATCAATCACTTAAGGCAGGGCTTAAAATTTCAATTTCTGAGCTACTAGCCAAGCCTTAGAGTTACTCGCCACCAACAAACATACACAGAGACACCTGTACACACACACAGACATGTACATACACACACAAACATACAGACACATGTATACACACACAGGCACGTACATACACACAGATACAGGTACATACACACACACACACATGTACATACAGACACATGTACACACAGACACATGTACACACATACATGTACAGACACATGTACATACACTCAGACACATGAACAATTGTACATGCATGCACAGACACACACACACACCAACACCCCCCCATAAAAAGTTGCAGTACTTCGTTGTTCACTCACAGATCCGGGTACTGCACTCTAGGGGGAGGCAGAGAGCACAGCACACACTCCTTCCTTTGCTTTCACTGAGCTCAGCTATTGAGCAGTCTGACAGCTCCCAGTGCCAATGGCAGATCTGGCCTGAGCTCCGAGCCTGCTCAGAAAGACGGCCCTGGGGGGACACACTCGCCCCCACCATAATTTCCACACGCCATTGGCGAACAGGCGAGTGGAAATTTCAAGCCCTGACTTAAGGGACGGATCTGATTTTGTCCTGGGCAGAACTGTGTGTTCCTGCTTTATCTGTAGTACATATTCCCAGGGTGATAAATTGTCAGGCTGACTTCTTCAGTCTTCACCAATTGAATTTGGTATAGCACATCCTTTACCCTGAGGTGTTTGAAGCTATTTGTCAGGTGGGGAGATCAGGTGTAGATCTTTTGGCATCCAGATTCAATAACAAGCTGAACCAGTTTGCATCTTAGACCAGGGATCCACAGATGTTTGCATGTTGGATGTGGATGCCTTGGTGACTCCTTGGGATCAATTCTCTGATATATGAATTCCTTCAACTTCAGCTTTTTCTACGTCTGCTGTGCAGGATATAGGCAGAGGATTTGCTAGTGATTTTTGCACTTGGCTACATAGAATGTGGTATGCCGAAATCATCAGTCTGGAAGTAGATGACCCTGGACTCTTCCAGATCAGCCAATCCTGCTGTTGCATGGTCCGATTTTCCACTGTGCTTTATGGTTGCTGCCTTTGACGGCATTGTTGTCGCTGCCCAAGTTTTGAGAGATAGGAGCATTTCTGACCCCTTTAAAGGCCAGAAAGTCGACTGCCATGAATGTGTACCACTGTACATGGAAAGCTTATTTCGCTTGGCATGAGGCTAAGATATTTTGTCCTCAACATGTTGTGGGGAGAGGTCTCTGGCCTTAAACACCATCAAGGGTCAGATTTTGGCCTTGGCATTCTGCTTCAGAGGCCATTGTGTCTCATTCATTGGTAAAGGCTTTTGTGCAAGGTCTCACGTGGATTGTTCTGTCCTTGATTTAGAGGGATCTTATTTTGGTGTTTACTGTGTTGCAGACTGCTCCCTTTGAACCCACTAGGGATATTCCCTTGTTGCATCTTTGATGGATGATGGTCTTTTGGGTTGCCATTACTTCAGCTTGTAGGCTTTCAGAACTGGTTGGCCCTTGTCTGTAAGGAACCCTTACTGATTCATCAAGATAAGGATGTGTTGAGGCCTTGTGCATCCTCTTTGCCTGGAGTGGTTCTTCCTTCCATCTGGATCAGGACACTGTGCTACTTTACTTCTGTCCTAATCCTAAACAACCTAAGGAGAAGGTTCTTCTCTCAGATGCAGTCCATGTTGTACAGGTTTATTGGCTGTCTACAGCTGTTTAAAAGCATGCACAACAACCAGTGTAAACCTTATGTCTGTGGCGGCAAAAAGGTGAATTAAATATATTATTTAAAGTGCTTTGTTATATCTCTTCAGTATTTGCAACTAAAATATCTGTTTATCTTGCTGCCATGTATGTTGGGAGGTGTTAGTATTCTGTGCTCTCTGCCATCAGTTGCATTGTCCCTTAGAACTGCACACCACAACTCCCCAAAGTGGAGCGAGGGGAGGTGCTTTGTAGTTCTGTTTCATTTCTGTTGTCCTGATACAGTACAGTGAGTGTGTTATTAACATCACCAGGTGAAAATAATGGAAAAGAAACAATGCAGCAACCACATTGAAGGACTGTTAATCTGCACTATATTAATGGGGTTTTTTTTTAGGTTTGGATATACTTTAACCACATGCCTACCAGGCACTTATACCCCCTTATTTACCAGGCCAATTTTCAGCTTTCAGCGCTGCCGCACTTTGATTGACAATTGCGCGGTCATGCAACATTGTACCCATATGAAATTTTGATCATTTTTTTCTCACAAATAGAGCTTTCTTTTGGTGGTATTTAATCGCCACTGGGCGCTTTACTTTTTGCGCTAAAAATAAAAAAAGTGTAAAAAATTTGAAAAAAAAAAGTTTCTTTGTTTCTATTATAAAATTTTTCAAACAGGTATTTTTTCTCCTTCACTGATGTGCGTTGATGGGGCAGCACTGATGGGCACTGATAGGCGGCACTGATAGGCAGCACTAAAGGCAGATAGGCAGTACTAATGAGGTGGCACGAATAGGCGGCACTAATATGCAGCACTGATAGGCGGCACTGATAGGTGACACTGATGATGGGTACTGATAGACGGCACTGACTGGCATCACTGCCGGGCACTGACTGGCGGCACTGACTGGCACAACCCCTGGGCACTGACTGGTGGCACTGACTGGCAGCACTGCTGGGCTGCACTGGTGGGTGGCACTGGTGGGCAGCACTGGTGGGTGGGCACAGGTGGGTGACACTGGTGGGCACAGGTGGGTGGCACTTGCTGGGCACAGGTAGGTGGCACTTCTGGGCACAGGTAGGTGGCACTGCAGAGTGGCACAGGTGGGTGCACAGGTGGGTGCTGGGCACAGGTGGGTGCACTGCTGGGCACAGGTGGGCAGAGCTAGTGGGCGCACTGCTGGGCACAGGTGGGCGGAACTTGCGGGCGGCACTGCTGGGCACCGATCATCAGTGGCCCTGATGATCGGTGCCGATCCCCGCTCTGACAACTGCCGGTTCTCGGCAGTACTTTCCTCACGATCTGACAGCGTGAGGAAAGTGCAGCCGAGAACCGGCACTTGCATTTCCCTCTGATCAGCGTGTCATTGGACACTGCTGATCACGTGGTAAAAGGCCGCTGTGATTGGCCTTTTACCACATCACGTGATCAGCTGTGTCCGTAGGACACAGCGATCACGGAGATCGCCGGGTGCGCGCCCCCTGGGTGGACGTCATATGACGTCCACTCAGAACTGGTCGGCCGCAGTGCAGCCGTCATTCGGCTATCTGCGGCCGGCTACCAGTTAATGTGAACCTGAACTTTAGAAGGGCAGCAGCTTGTGTATAATACCTCCTCCCTCCAGCATCACATCCATTTCACTCCCCTGCCACTCCCATCCATGTGTAAGCAAGGAGCTACTCACAAGTCATAATTCACACAGGACTCTCCATGGGTGACCCAGCTGGGTATTGGCCCAGTGTTGTCACATGATCATACATACCTAAAAGTATCATGGATTTCCTTCACTCCTTGCAGAAGAACAGAGCAAGAAGGGAGGAAGAAAGAGTAAATGCTGCTGGGGATGGGGAATTAACATGTATGTAAACTCTTTACCATGAATTTCTCTCATTTGCTCCCCTTTGGTCTGTTAAATATACCAAAATGAAAATGTTTTATTGTATTTGTTCATCCAGCCAGAAATCTTGTAAGATGATAACAGTCCAGAAGCAGAGAGTACAGAATGTTATCAGTTCCCTGTTATCTCCATGGACTACAATCCCTACCTACCCCCATGTTTATGGAAAAGAGAGGTAGGCGTTATGTAGTCCTAATACGGTGTTGTATAGTCCTAACCCACTCCCTGTCCTAAGGTGACAACACTGCTCAGTATGGTTGTCACCCTAGGAGAGGAAGTGAGTTAATGGCACAAGTTCCAGGTCAAATTAAAGGGGAAAAAACTGAAAAAAGAAAACTAATACAGACACTACATCTAAGGACTGGTAAGCTGCAATAATATTAATTTTTGTCGTTTGGTTTAGATATGCTTTAAAGGCTGTCAGAAACAAAAAACATGGAGGCAACCATTGCTGCACTCTCCTTCTGAAAATTCTAGCTGCCTGACTCCCGTTGACCCTCTGTCTCCCATGAGTCATTTACCCGGAACTTGTATGCAAATAAGGATTTCTCACATTCTCTGACTGTCCTGATCTGCATTCTTGTTCTGAGTTTGTGTACATTCACTCCTTTCTTCTCTCTGCAGGATTTGTGTGAAGACCAGAGAGATTCTGTCTATTCTGTCCTCGCTCAGCCAGGAGACAGCAGACCGTGACAGGCCAACGTTAAACCTGGAGCAGCTCCAGCAAAAGAAATTCCCTCCAGCTACAGAAAATTTTTTGATGCACCTGGCAGCGGCTGAGCAGATGTTACTGACGTGATGTAGGGAGAGAACTGATGGAGTGTGATACGTACGGGACCATAGCCATTTTGTGCGTCACTCAGAGGCGCCTGGCAGAGCCATACTTCTCGCCGGCACTTTCCAGAGAGCCCGGCTGTACGGTGGAATTATTTACCAGCAAGACATGGTTTGTTTTGGCCAGACAAGATGGCCAGTCATTTCTATTAAAAATGTTTGTGTTCTCAGCACATGCTGTCATGTTCTCTATTTCTCCTGCCAGGAGTGCATTACCAGTCTACACAGGACTGACCTGTGACATCTGAGCCTTGTGTGCACTAGGACTGACCTGTGACATCTGAGCCTTGTGTGCACTAGGACCGACCTGTGACATCTGAGCCTTGTGTGCACTAGGACTGACCTGTGACATCTGAGCCTTGTGTGCACTAGGACTGACCTGTGACATCGCAGCCCGGCGCGCACTAGGACTGACCTGTGACATCTGTGCCTTGTGTGCACTAGGACTGACCTGTGACATCGCAGCCCGGCGCGCACTAGGACTGACCTGTGACATCGCAGCCCGGCGTGCACTAGGACTGACCTGTGACAGCTGAGCCCGGCGCGCACTAGGACTGACCTGTGACAGCTGAGCCCGGCGCGCACTAGGACTGACCTGTGACAGCTGAGCCCGGCGCGCACTAGGACTGACCTGTGACAGCTGAGCCCGGCGCGCACTAGGACTGACCTGTGACAGCTGAGCCCGGCGCGCACTAGGACTGACCTGTGACAGCTGAGCCCGGCGCGCACTAGGACTGACCTGTGACAGCTGAGCCTTGTGTGCACTAGGACTGACCTGTGACATCTGAGCCTTGCGTGCACTAGGACTGACCTGTGACATCGCAGCCCGGCGCGCACTAGGACTGACCTGTGACATCGCAGCCCGGCGCGCACTAGGACTGACCTGTGACATCGCAGCCCGGCGCGCACTAGGACTGACCTGTGACAGCTGAGCCGGCGCGCACTAGGACTGACCTGTGACAGCTGAGCCCGGCGCGCACTAGGACTGACCTGTGACAGCTGAGCCCTTGCGCGCACTAGGACTGACCTGTGACAGCTGAGCCCGGCGCGCACTAGGGACTGACCTGTGACAGCTGAGCCTTGCGCGCACTAGGACTGACCTGTGACAGCTGAGCCCGGCGCGCACTAGGACTGACCTGTGACAGCTGAGCCCGGCGCGCACTAGGACTGACCTGTGACAGCTGCAGCCCGGCGCGCACTAGGACTGACCTGTGACATCGCAGCCCGGCGCGCACTAGGACTGACCTGTGACATCGCAGCCCGGCGCGCACTAGGACTGACCTGTGACATCGCACCCCGCGCGCGCACTAGGACTGACCTGTGACAGCTGAGCCTTGTGCGCACTAGGACTGACCTGTGACAGCTGAGCCTTGTGCGCACTAGGACTGACCTGTGACATCTGAGCCTTGTGTGCACTAGGACCGACCTGTGACATCTGAGCCCGGTGTGCACTAGGACTGACCTGTGACATCTGAGCCTTGTGTGCACTAGGACCGACCTGTGACATCTGTGCCTTGTGCGCGCACTAGGACCGACCTGTGACATCGCAGCCCGGCGCGCACTAGGACCGACCTGTGACATCGCAGCCCGGCGCGCACTAGGACCGACCTGTGACATCGCAGCCCGGCGCGCACTAGGACCGACCTGTGACACCGCAGCCCGGCGCGCACTAGGACCGACCTGTGACATCTGTGCCTTGTGTGTGCACTAGGACCGACCTGTGACATCGCAGCCCGGCGCGCACTAGGACCGACCTGTGACACCGCAGCCCGGCGCGCACTAGGACCGACCTGTGACACCGCAGCCCGGCGCGCACTAGGACCGACCTGTGACACCGCAGCCCGGCGCGCACTAGGACCGACCTGTGACAGCTGCAGCCCGGCGCGCACTAGGACCGACCTGTGACAGCTGAGCCCGGCGCGCACTAGGACTGACCTGTGACATCGCAGCCCGGCGCGCACTAGGACTGACCTGGGGTATCGCAGCCTTGTGTGCTCTAACCCATTTGAAGGGATAAGATGAGGGAGGTTAGGAAGATCCAGGGAAGTAAAGGAGGTCTTGGAGGGAGGTGAGGGAAGGGATGTGATTAGGGTGGGAGCGTAAGGATATCCAGGAGAGGGGAGACAGGGTGATCTAGGGAGAAAAATTCAGTTCAAGGGTAGAGGAATTTGTAGCCAGCCATCTACAAAATATTTTAGTGGAGGTGAAAACAAACGATCACTCAATCGGGGGTGACAGGTAAAGGGTTTGTAGTCTCAGAAGTCCAGAAAGTCATAAGTGATCATGTGTTCAGCAGTTCATACTTCCTGTCTGGTGTTGTTATGCAGGAAGAAGAGAGGTCTTCTGCCCAGGCATCTCTCCCTGCAAGTTCTAGGGGAGCAGCAGCTACTTGGGACTCGATGGTAGACTCTGAGGCTCATGTCTCCTCTATTAGTTCATCCTGAAGATCGTCTCTCTTGATCTAAAATAAAATTAGGAGATCAGAATGAAATAGCAAAGCTTATGGAAACTGAATATAAACACCAGGCCCATATAGCCATAGGATTCTTAGGGACACACAAACAGAGAATGTCCCAACGGAACATCTACTTTCCTTTCTGCAACTGGGGAGTGGACCAATGCTTGGCCCATAGTACCAGCAAGGTTCAGGTCTCTGTATTGGATCTCCTGTACTAGGTGCTTTTAAAGTCCCACCCTTTTAAGACCTTGGTCCAGGGTCATTCTTCCTTGTCAAATGTTTGGTTTCCCCCCCCCCCCCCAGGGGGGATTTGAACTTTATCCTGCTGGTTCTTCAAAGGCCTTCCTTTGAACCAATCAGGAACATTCCAAAAATTTTTTTACCTTGTCTCACAATGTGCCTTTTCTTGTGGCCATCACCTCTACCAGATTAGTATCTGAACTGGAGGTCATGTCCTGTTAGGAACCCTTTTATGTTCTTCACAGAATTAGGGTAGTTTTAAGAATTAGGCCTTCCTTCCAAAGGTGGGTTCAGCCTTTCAGCAAATTGAGGATATTGGGCTCCATTCACTAAAGTAAATTGCATGTGATATTGAATGACTTGACACATTTTTCTTAAATGTCACATGCAATACAGAAAATGGCAATTCACTCTCCTTATGCGGTATTTACCTCAAAAAGCAAGAAAACTCAGCAGACCGAATAAAATGGTGATAAAGTCAATGAACTGAAGGAAATAAATGCATGCGTTAAACAAGTACTGGTCCAAGCATGCTATAGTTGTGTTTGATTTTCGCTGGTTATTAAGGAGCCAGCCCCCGCGGTGTCCTTAACCACTTCATGTCCGGACACTTTTAACCCCTTCCTGACCAGGGCAATTTTCAGCTTTCAGCGCTATCACACTTTGAATGACAATTGCGCCGTCATGCAACACTGTACCCGAATGAATTTTTTACCTTTTTTTTTTTTTGAGACAGACAAAGCTTTATTTTGGTGGTATTTATTCACCGCTGGGATTTTTATTTTTTTTGCTATGTAAATGGAAAAGTCCCAAAATTTTGAAAAAAAAGTGTTTTTTTATCAAATTTTGCAAATAAATAATATTCCATCATAAATCTTGGCCAAAATTCATTCAGTTATCTTTTTAGTGAAAAAAAAAAATCCAAATTAGTTTATAACCAAAAATTATAATTTTTAAACATATTTTTTTTACATTTTTATATTATTATTTTTTTTTTTACATACTTTCACCCTAGCAGTACAGTGTCACCATGGTGACACTGTACTACTTGTGGAGGTGATGAAGATTTTTTTTTTTTTTACACTGATTGCTTTTACACCCATATAGGATGTAAAAGCAATCATTTCTCTTTCTCTGTCTGCATTCTTGCACTCATTGAGAAGTACTGAGTGAGCTGTGATTGGTCACAGCTTGTCACATGGTACAAGGCTGTTGTGAATAGCCTTGTACCATGTGACCTCTGTGATCATTCACAGATTTCACACGTAGTAAGCAATGATGTCACAAGTGACATCTTGCTTACTACTTTGCATGTGATCACTGATTGGCCAATCAGTGATCACATGATCGGGACCTCATACAGAGGTCCCGTCCGACGATCGGTGTTTCACTGTGTCCGGAGGACACAGCGGGCACCGGATCGCGGGAGCGCGCACAAGCAGGCTGCGGGGAGGCCGTTTTATAAACGGCCACCCGACCCTGCAGTGCCACCGTCTGGCCGTTTATATGCAACGGCCGGTCGGGAAGTGGTTAACAACCATGATTAATCTGCTGTCAGTGGGATTCCCTGAGTGAAATCATGCTAAATGTGGAAGAGTTTATATTCCTTAGGGCTGGCCTACTGTCTTCTAATAGCCAATCCTCCTGAAGGGGTCAGTATAACCCAACTGTCTTCAAAATCTTGTGTCCCTTAATGGACTCTGAGCAAGGCATTTTTTATAATGAGCAAATAAGTCCCATTATTCAGTGCTGCAGACTTGGGGCTGTCATGCTCTGAATAAATGTGACAGATGACGTTGGAATATACCTTTCCTTGCTGTGGAAATAGGGAGAAGGATACTGGGGTCATCTTAAAGGTGAAGGCAGCAATCAGAAGTTTAACAACTGTAAAAATTCCAGGATTACTGAGCATGTGAGATCTATGGAGAAAGGGAAAAGATCATTATCTGGAGGATGAGTCAGAATGTTACAGTCACATGCATCCCTCTATAAATAAGAGCTTTTCAGTCACATGACATCTGCTGCAAAGTCAGGAAATTCCAACGTCTAACACCCAGGCTGTTCCCATTCCACCAAAAGTGCAACTGTACTGTTATCAGACTACAAGATTGTCAAGTTGTGTATCCAACCAGAGCGTCGCTTTGTCCAATCAACCCCTCCGCCATACTGTTCTATTGTACAGTCAGCACCCCACCAGAGCATCCTATTGTGGAAACTGCACCCTACCGAATCGTACATATCGATCATTCTGCACCAAAATCGCCAGA